CACCTATTTCCCTCCTTCTCAGAGCTGCTGATGCTTCTTGGGCCCCCTTCAGCTCAGAAACATGCTTTAATAGTTGAGCATCTATGCTGTGCCAAGACACAGTCCCACTTGACTATGAAGACAGCTGAAGCCAAAGAAGGGAGCCTCAGAAGTGATTTGGAGCCCATGTGGGTGAGTCCACCCAAGGTTAGGGCTGATGTGATCATCTCTAGCTCCCCGCCTCATAACCCCAGGCCCATATGTAGAAATAAACACAGGGCCAGAGTCCCACCCAGATCTAAACACACAGGGGAGTCTGGGAAAGGCTGCTGGAGCTCCAAGACTGCTGCCCAAGTAGGGGTGGGGAATGGCTGGGAGGAGGTTGAAACAGTGGTCCAAGGGGCCCAGCCAGGAATGAGCCTGGCCTCACTCCTCTCCCACCTGTCCCTCTAAGAGAAACTCAGCATAGAGTCTGTGCCTTTCTAAAAAAATAGCAAGGCTAGTTGGAGCCCACCAGACTGAAAGAAAGAGAACGGGAGGGAAAAGAGTCAGCTGGTTGGCCAGAAGGGATACAGATCTCTCTCTGTATTCAACCCTCTCCCACTGCCATCCAATTCCAGCCTAGTCCCCCCACTCCACGCCCCCCCCCCGGGGGGGGCACCTTATCCCTCCTTGACTGGGAGTGCTCCTGTTACTTATCTGAACTCTCCTCCTCCCTAGCTCACTGGGTTGCAGCTGGTTGGCCCCAGCCGGCCTCTGCACACCAGCCTACACCTGCCTTTGGGGCTCTGTGCTGGCTCTTCCCTTGTTTGGGATGCTCTTCACCAAGAATCCGCCTAGCTTGTTTCCTCACCCCCTTCAAGTCTTTGCTGAATGTCACTTTAATAAGGTCTACCCTGATCATCCTAGTTAAAATTGTGACCCATCCCTTTCACCGTGCTCTATTTTTTCCCACTACACTTATCACTTTCTAACATACTCTGTTTTACTTCTGTTTACTGTTTATTGTCTATCTTCCCCCAATAGAGTGTAAACTCCATGAGGGCAGAAATTGTTTTGTTTTGCTTTGCTTTGTTCAATGATGAGTCTTCAGTGCCTAGCATAGTCCTAGTCCTAGCATATGGTAGGGAATAAATACTCGTTGAATTAATGAATACACTCAGCCCCTTATCAGAAAGTGAGGATAAAAGGAGTGAGAGGTGGGAAGAGAGGATAAAGGTTCCTCTGCACCTTTCTCCTGCTATCTCTGCCTCTGTGATGTCTGCAGCCTCCTGGCAGCCAGCTGCGCCCAGTTCCCTCCCACTCCCACTCTGGCGGTATCTCTAATACCACCGCCCCCCCCCCGCCCCCCAGCCAAGGACTGACTGTGAGTATGGGGGCGTGGGAAGTTACCAACACGCTGTACACCAGGAGTATATAGTTTACATAAATCACGGTGAGGGGCACAAAAGACACCTGCTACATGGGAGAAACTGAGGCTGAAGGGACTGGGGCCAGACCCCAGGGGAAGTCTCGAAGGTGGAAAGCCCAGGATTTTAAAAAGAACTTTTACGTCTGGATAAGGGCCACTCTGCCCGCAGGGGCTCTACCTGCCAGCTTGGGAGGTGCAGGGGGTGGGAGGAGAGGGGAGTCACTTTCAGCAGACAGCACCTGCCCACCCCTTCCAGATTTACCTTGCTCCTAGGCGGTGTGCGGGGCGGAGGGAGGGCGGGGGAGTGGCGGGGAGAAGGAAGGCTGGAGTCGAAGGAGAGAAAGGCTCCAGGGTTTCCACCCTCTCAGCAGGACTCCCACCCCGGCCTCTGGTGCGGGAAAGCCGCCCAGCTGTTTCTGATTCTTTCATAGTCTCAGCCCCGCCCGAGAGGGTGGAGGACTGAGGCACAGAGGGAGAGCGGGGCGAGACAGCTCTGCAGAGTCCGGCCATAAGGGGCGGGGAGCCCGTAGGTGTGCCCCCTCCGCGTCGGCCAACGATCCCGGTCCCCAGGCCTGGGAAAGCACGGGGCTGGGCAGGCGGGCTGGAGTCGCTTCTAAACGTTAGGAGGTGTAGGAGGTGCAGCGGAACGGAAGCAGCTCGGGCCCCAGATGAAAGAATCCCCTACCTGAAGCCGGCTGCCCACGCGCCCCAGTAGGCAGTGTTGAAAAGGTAGTTGACTGTCCTACAACTCTCGGTCAAGGATTCTACCCATTTCACAGAGGCGGAAGAATGGAAAGAGAGGACCCGAGGCATTGGGTGCATCCTCCGTGCTCAGCTCCAGTGTCACAGTAGGTTAGGGACGAGGGAAAGTGCAGACCCCTTTCACTCCGTACGCTTGGTTATCACTCACAAAAGTTGGGGTTGCCGAATGAAGGGCGCTAGGACCCGGTGGCGCGGTGTCGGCAGGGACAGAGCGCTCGGGGCGCAGAAGGGCGCCACCGCACCCCGTCGCAGCACGCTGGAGCAGGTGGGGGCTCTGCGCGGTTGCGTGCGGGGGCGCCGAGGGGCGGAGGCGGCCGCCACACCTAGGGCGCAGCTGAGCGCCAGGGGCCGGCGCGGGCGGATCCGCCCTGAGGGCCGCGCGTGTCCCCGGCCTCGGCCCCGCCCCGCCCCGTCCAATGAGAGCCCGCGGCCGAAGGGGCTGTCCGCACACTCTGCCCGCAGCTCCACTCGGCGCCGCAGAGCCCCTGACACCGCACTCAGTGCTCTGGCACCGCGCCCCAGATCCCAGGCTCTGCGCGCCGTCGTCAGCTTTCGGATACCTCAACGTGCGCCCCTCTCTGGGACCCTGCGCCTCTATCCTGGACTCCAAGTGACCGTAGGTCCCTAGCCGCCCGCAAACCCATGGCCACCCAGGGGGGTGAGGTAGGAGCAGCCTGAGTACCACAGACGGTTCCCCGTCCACGCCCCTGCGGGCTGCACGGCCAGAGTCGTGGGGAGCTATGCTGAGGCCGGGTGGTGCGAAGGAAGCTGCGCAGCTCCCCCCTCGGCGCACCCGCGCCCCTGTCCCTGTCCCTGAGCCCGAGCCCAGACCGGCGGCTATCGACGGCTCCCGGGCTTCAGTCCGTCTAGGTCTTGCCTGCTTTCTGCTGCTGCTACTGCTGACGCTGCCGGCCCGCGTTGACACGTCCTGGTGGTGAGTGTGGCTCTTAGATTGGGGCGGAGGATGGGGGCGGTCAGGCGCTGGGTTGGAGAGGCCGGCGGAGGCGCCAGGAGGGAATATATAACCCAGCACGGGCTGCTCAGGGGACCACGCTGTCATTTAGAAGGAGTTAGAGACAATCTGGGCAGGACCGTCACTGAAGTCTCAGGGTGACGGGTGAGTGGGGCAGGAAGGTAAGGCGTCCCGTTTTGCCCACCTGGTGAGGAGGGTGCTGGGCGTTTGGAACAAGGACGCCCAGTGGTCGAGGCTCCCTAGATTCCCCAGTGCTATTCTCCCTCTATTTCAGCTCAAGCTCTTTAGGGTAGAAACTGCCTTCCAAGTTTTTCTCAGGGTTAGTTCAAGGAACCAATAGTCTTTTGGGGGTCTACAGTGGCGTTTCTACAGGGCCCCCGATTTCGCCTAAGGTCACCCCCTGAGAAGGGGGCAGCAGGCAAGGGCCTCTCACTAGTCTACACTCCCTGGTAATGCAGGAAGGCTCTGGTGAGGCAGCAGCACCCAGAGTGACGTTTAGAAATGGAATTGAGGCACAAACTACCCCATTAATTCCCACAATTAAAACAAACAAAACACTTGGGTTTGCATAATCTAGGCATTTGTCTCCAGCCTCCACAATTGAGGATGTCACTTGGAACCTTTATGTCTCCCTCCCTTCTTCCTTTTCTTCTCCAGATGACCCCATCTCCAATCTCTCTCCTCCAAGTGCCAGAGAGTTTTGGAGTCCTAAAGAACTGAGACCCTCTCCTCAGATTTCTTGCAGGCCTTAGACTCCAGACAATTCACAAGAGGCCAGATGAGGCAAAAAAGGCATTAAAAAACCACCAGACATCTGTTGTCTGTTCTTTTCAGAATCCACTCAACCCACCCACCCTACACCCAAGAGTTCCACCAGTGTTGGATGGTGGCTCTCATCACCTTCTCTCAGGAGGAGCTGCCCTCTCCTACCTTGGTGGGGAGGGCAAGGGGGAGGGTTGGACTGAGAAGTGTCCCCGTCCTTTCCTTACTCTGTTCCTCCTTCTGTGCTACCAGCCTCCCCCCAAGTGTGGTCTTTTCTCCCCTTGCACCCTGTGGCTTTTCTCCTCTTGACTTGGAATCTTGGCTGGAAGGGTGAGGGGTAGCTGGCTGAGGGGCCAGCCAGCTTGGGCTGCAGATTCCTATCATTTCAAGATGCTCTCTCTCCATCCCCAACCCCCACCCCCTGTTTTCCTGTTTCAGAAAAATCTCTCTTTTGGATCTTTTTTTTTTTTTTTAATCTCTGCAGTGTTGGGGAAGGCAAGGAGGGGGGTTCTGGATGGGGGAGCAGGGAGGCCTATATCTTACATCTGACTTGAAACATTCCTTTAGAAAGGGAAAGGGAAGAAGGGAGATGAGGAGAAAAGCCTTTCAAAGTTCAGCGTGAGATCAAAGCTACCTTTTTTACCTTCATGGGCTTGGTTTTGCTGGGGACTTGTGTCTTCAGGGTCCCTGATTAGAGAGCATGAAGTGACCACTGTCCATCTTTATCTGGCCCAGATGACAGTTTGCTTCTGGGGACTCTTGATTGCTTTCTTACTAGTTTGGGATGTAGTTTTAGGGACCAACTGGTGTTGGTGAGGAAGTGTCACTCTGGTAATCTCAGCATTCTGGTACTGGTCCTATAAACTCAAGTGGAGTTCTTCCTAGTCCTTGTTTTGTTTTTGCGACAGGGTCTTGCTCTGTAGCCTGGGCTAGAGTACATACAGCATCGTCGTCATAGCTCACAGCAACCTCAAACTCTTGGGCTCAAGCAATCCTCCTGCCTCGGCTTCTTGAGTAGCTGGGACTATACGCATGAACCACCATGCTGGGCTAATTTTTTTATTTTTTGTAGAGACAAGGTCTTGCACTTGCTTAGGCTGGTCTCAAACTTCTGGCCTCAAGGCATACTCCTGCCTCAGCCTCCCAGAGTGCTAGGATTATAGGTGTGAGCCTCTGTGCCGGCCTCTAGTTCCCATTTTGTACCCTTGACTGCTTGTTCTCTCCATTCCTTTCTCCCTCTGTTACCCTCCCCCCATGTGGTTCATATTAAAGATTTTGGAAAAACTCCTAAGTGAAAGAGCTATGGAGGGAGGCGGGTGACACACAGAGGGACTTAGCAGCCCCTATATAATGGAGGAAGGCAGCAACAGGGCCAGGATGGAGAGTAGGTACAGAGGTTGTTTTAGCCTCCTTGCCCCACACCTGTCATAGCTGCAGAATCAGATGCCTGCCTCAGTGGTCATCACTTCAGGGATAAGGTAAAAAGCTGCCTTCTAAAGGCAGGTCAGGCCCCCAAAGTGTAATCCTTTAAGAAAAAAACCAGCAAGATTAATATTCTGTACAATCCTTGGAAGAGATGCCTGTTGACTCTGTGTGTGTCCGTGTTCCACTCTGGAGCAGAAGCCATCATTATTATCAGATAACAGTCGGATCTTTCTGATAGCCCAAGATTCTTCCCCTTACTCTCAATCGCCCCTTCACTTCTCTCTACCCTTAGCTGGAGGAGGAAACAGGTAGTCTCTTCTTAGTCTATGACAAACAGAACAAGAAATAGGGGGCTCCTGTCATATGCTTTCCTGTTCCATTTCGCATTTTGCAGGGGGTTGTTTGTAGGGAATCATAAAAGCAGGACTGTGTGCATGGGCTCACAAAGGGAGAGAAACATGGGAGAGCAGTATTATGATGTTAGTGTTACTGTTACTGACAACAGTTGCCATTGAATGAGCCCTTACTAAACTCCAGGCACTGTGGCCAAGCACCTTGTGAGCATCATCTTTGTCAATCCAAAATAATCCAGTGAGGTAGGTTCTATTATTATCCTCATTTCACAAATGAAAGTGAGATATAGGACAGGAGTGGTAAGAAAGTAGCTTAAGTTCACACCAGTTTTGGAGCCAGATTGGTCCACTCCTAGGTAAGCATTGTGTGCTTCTCTTGCCTCTGGAATGAAAATGAGCTTGGACTTTGGAGTCAGATGACCTTGGTTCATCCTGGTTCTCTTATGACTAACCCTGACAGAGCTGGGCAATATCACTTAGTCTCCCTGAACCTCAGTTTCTTCAGCTAGAAAATTGGAGATCTCTCTCTCATGGGATTTTTGTGCAGAAAAATGTTTTGTGGGCTGTAAAGTACTATACGAATGCTGTGGTATTAAGAGCATAGTCAGGGAGCCTAACAGTTTTATCTCTGTGTTCGAAGTGCTATATGTGGTGGGCTGAACCCACCACACTAGGGGCTGTACATAAAAGGAGGAGGATCCCTGGCCTCATTAAAAATACACAAACATAAGACATCTGCACATAGGCTGGCAGTGTCGACAAGGAGTGAAGCTATAATTTAAATTTAGTTTATGGCTGGCTAGGGGGACAAAGGAGTTGGGGATGAATCAGAGAAGTTAGGTGTTTGTTCAACACATAGTTATTGAATACCTACTATGTGCCAGACACAGTTCTCAGGACTGGGATATTGACATGAGCAGACAAAATCTCTCCCTTCATGGAACAGTGCTTCCAAATCACAGGAGGAAATGAAGATCTGACTCAGTAGGCCTGGGGTGGTGCCTGAGGTTCTGTATTTCTAACAACTCCCTGGGTAGTGCAGATACTGTTGTTCTGGGGACCACACTGAGTAGTAAGAGGTTAGAGTGGCATATGAGTCACTTTGTTAAAGGAAGGTATGTGAGTTGATCAAAAACAGGTGAAAAGAAGCATTCTGGGGCAGGAGGTTGGAAGGAAGTGAAGAGCTTCTAGAAGGGAAAAAAAAATCTAGAGAGTCAGGGGCATCTGGCACCCTCTGCCAGACCATGAATTAGGAGATACCTTAAACATCTTTGTGCCCCTAACATCTGAGCTCAGTGCTTGGCACATAGGAGACATTTTGCAGACATGTATTGAACTAAGAGGGAGATGGGGGTCAACCTCAGGCTTAGCTATATTGGAGGCCTCTCACATTGATCACAGCAGGCAAGCACCACGCTTTGTAGAGTTTTGAAGTAGTTACTTAGTAGGGTAAGGATAGTAGTAGAGAAAATTATCTTCCCAACTTAGATACTGAACGTATGTTCCCATGCTCAGTGAGGATGTAACAAAAAGGACCTATGTGGGCTGTAGCAGAATGGATTGAAGTCAGACCACAGGAAGGTCTTTTTGCCAAAGCTGGGCCTGCCCCACTCCAGACTGTCTCATGAGGGTTGGATTATTGGTCTCCCATTCCCATCCAGTCCCCACCCCCCACCCCCCAAGCCCTAGGAAAAAAACAAACACCCACTGCCTAGAGCAGTACTCTGGAGCTGAACTGGGGAAGCTGAACGGTGGTGAGACAGGGAGGAGCTCCAACTCCAACTGTGTAGATTCTCCAAACAAAGCACCACAGCAGTGGGTGTAACTCGGGGCTGTGCGTCAGGCAGCCCTTTCCGGCCTGGCCCAGCCTGGGGTGTTTATTTTGTTTGTTCCTGGAAGCTGTTGCCCTGATGGACAGTGCTGGGGACGCTGATTCCATGGGATTTGTTAGCAGAGGGCCAGCCCTCTCAACCCTCCCCCGGGACAGATGGGCCCCATCAACCCTGCTGAGTTCCCGAAGAGGCAAGCATCAGCCCTCCTTGTGTTTGTTTGAGTTGGTGTCACCAGTGGTGATCCAGTCTGTGGGTGAGGGCCGGCTGTGGGAATGCAGTGTGTGTCTGTAGGGGGCAGAGGGGGCACAGAGCCCAGGGCAGTTTAACTTTTCTCCCCCCTCCACCAGCTTCCCTCCCTTCTCCTTAACCACTTCTAGGCCCATTTTGGGGCTGTTCCCGTTCCCAAACCACAGGCTCGCTCATAGCTCAAACCAAATCTTTTCTGTCTGCAGCAGCAACTGCCCTCCAGGGCCCCCACCTGTTCAGAGAAGGGGAGAGAGGACATCCCTTGGATGTGTTTTGGACAGGAGAACAGAGAATGCCCAGCAAATCAAGGAAGGTGCTAAGGGGTTAGAGAGAGGGAATGAGAAGTGAAGCTGGGCTGATGAGCTGGAAGTAGGTGAATGGGTCAGATCTCATTTAGTGGCCTCTTAGGGAGAAAAGGGAAATCCTCTCCTGTTTTCTCTCTGAAATGTTCTTCCTGAGGCTTGTGGTAAAGTACAGGCTAAGAGTATTTAAGTGGAGAGAAAATACTGCCTTGGGAAACTTGAGAATGACTCTAGCAACACACCAATCCTTTAGTAGCCCATCTCAATTGATCTTATAATTGTTCATATTGGGCAGACTGGGGATGAGAGAAAGGGGAGAGTCACCCTATTACTTTAATTTGGACTTTGGTTTCCCATTGCAAACAGCCCTCTGCCCGTGCAGATCCATCCAGGATATCTTGCCTTATAGGTTGGGGAAGATGATTTTCAAAGGTTGATTAGTTAAGAAAGGCCCTGGGGCCTGGAAATAAAGGGTATGGGGAGGAAAATGGGAGTGGGGTCTTTCTCCCCAGATCTCAAAATTGGGAATGAAGATTTTTTTAGCTATATGGGTCTTACTAGAGCTGTAAACATTGAGTAATTTGAGTAATCCCCTGTAGAGATTACTCAAAATTGCCCACTATGTCTCTTCCCACCAGCCCCTTTTTGTCTCCCAACCCCTCTACTACCAAACCATGTCTTCGTGGACCAGTCATACAGGATGTGCCTCTTACACGTAGGTGTAAGAGTGTTGTCTCAGACCCTTGTTTTGTTAGTTTATCTTTCCATGAGGCTCTTCATGTTTATTAAATTAACAGGCAATGGGTTTGTGTGACATGCCCACAGCTTCTTAGTATGTGATACAGGCCAAGCCTGTGTTCTGGGAGTATGTGTCACTTTGGCCTTTGGCTGGGGAACTGATGATGGTGGGAGAACACTCAATTACTCTCTCTGCAACTGCATAACTATTTCTTCAGAGCTTGTGGGAAATGGTTCCACCCATCAGCTTTAGGGAATGTGGGTTGGGGAGAGGGGAGGGAATCTCTCCAAGGTTTGGATGACAAACTTCCCTCTTCTTTATTCACCTCTTGATGCAGAAAAAGGGCTAGGATGCTCTGACAGGGCCATCTCCACCTTGCAGGTACATTGGGGCACTGGGTGCCCGAGTGATCTGTGACAATATCCCTGGTTTGGTGAGCCGGCAGCGGCAGCTGTGCCAGCGTTACCCAGACATCATGCGTTCGGTGGGCGAGGGTGCCCGAGAATGGATCCGAGAGTGTCAGCACCAGTTCCGCCACCACCGCTGGAACTGCACCACGCTGGACCGGGACCACACTGTCTTTGGCCGTGTCATGCTCAGAAGTAGGGGCTTCTTCCACTCTGCCCCAGCTCCCTCCCTTTCTATGCTTGGAGTGGTGAGGAGGATGGGCAGGCAAGATCTCCCCTGAACCCCTTTCCCCCCACACTACTTCATGATGAGAGAAACAACTGTGGGCTAAGGATACAATTGGGAACCGAACCTCAGTATCTTAGATTTAAAGGCAGGGGCTCCTCTAAATTTCAGTGTGCTGGGACTATAGGACAAAGGTAAAGCATTCCGTTTATCCCTCCTTTTCCCTGCCCAACCTCCAATCCCCAGCTTGTGGGTCTTCTATATACTATAAAGCTGAGGTCTAGGAACAGATCCTCTGTTCTTACTACCACCACCACTATTGTCACCCCAACCCTCCCAACACTACAGTAATGGTAACAAGAGATAAACAGAAAGGTGATATGTAAATATTTGGAGAGTCAGTGGCTTGGCCCCAGCTCAGCAAAGAAACTAAACAGGGCTAGAAGTAAACTAGGAAAAAGGCAATGAGACGGGAATCTGGAAGTATCAGGCATACAGGGGTGATAATTCATCAGTACCAGTACCCAAGAGAGGAAAGGAGAGCAGGCAGGGAAGGTGGCTTGCCTCTCCAAACAGGCTGACCGCTCCCCTGGGGTCTCCATTGTTCTGGAACTGTCCAGCAGGATGGGCCTGAAAAGGCCTGGAATGTGGACTAAGACGGGCTCAGTTCAGCCAGTTCTGGCATTCAGTGGGAGGGGATGCTTCACCATAAAACTGTTCAATGGATGGACACAGGGAATTTAGAAAGAAACAAGAGTATAGGTCAGCCAAAGAGGTCAGATGCACAAAGAAGTAGGCAGAGAGTTGAAGGCTAAGGGGAAGAGGTCAGATACTCTAGGGGATGCTCTTGGTAGGGAAGGGTACCTTGAATAAATGGGGTGTAGGGGGTAGCTCTGGGAAAGAAAAGGTGAGGAGAGGAAGTTTCAGACTCAGAGGTTGTGTGGGCTGAAGAAGGGGACAGACATGGGCCTCTTTTCTGAAATATACCTGTACCTTTCTTTCTCTAGGTAGCCGGGAAGCAGCATTTGTATATGCCATCTCATCAGCAGGGGTGGTACATGCTATCACTCGTGCCTGCAGCCAGGGTGAACTGAGTGTGTGCAGCTGTGACCCCTACACCCGTGGCCGACATCATGACCAACGTGGGGACTTTGACTGGGGTGGCTGCAGTGACAACATCCATTATGGTGTCCGTTTTGCCAAGGCCTTTGTGGATGCCAAGGAGAAGAGGCTTAAGGATGCCCGGGCCCTCATGAACTTACATAACAACCGCTGTGGTCGCACGGTCAGTACTCATGTCTGTCTATGTATATTCATATTTGCTGGGGGTGACCAGTATGTGACCATGGACAAAATATGATGGAAGAGCTGAAGGCTTCTAGATCACTTCCAAAAGCCCCAACATCCTGGACAGGAGTGCTACGTGCGAGGAAGCTTGGGAATGCCTAGGTTCAACCAGATGCACAAAGAATCTTCACACAGGTGGAAAGTTGGAAAAGGTAGAGAAAAGAAGGAAAGTAACTTTTTAAGAAGGAAAAGAACTGCCTTCATAAAGACTGAGAGAATAGGAGCTTATTTTAGTCAGTTTACTAGTATTTGAACACCTTTTATGGGCCAAGTACTGTGCTGGAAAATGGCACACTATAAAAGTAGAAGGCATGATACCTGGCACTCTAAAACATGTGAAAACTAGATGATGTGCAAGTGTACTGTAATCATGAACAGAAAGAATCCTTTGGCTTTAAAGTCCGTTGGGCTACATAAAAAGGAAAGCACTGTTGGTCCAGGAAAATTTCCTGGAAGATGTTTTTGAACTTGATCAGGAAGAATGGGTGATATCTGATGTGGGAGTGACCAAGGCTCAACCAGCCAGTCAGGGCCAAGGCCAGGAGATTTCAGAGAACTCATGTTTTGGGCCCTACAAATGACTAAAAAGTGCCCTGAACAAGCTGCCTCTTCCTTACCTGCCTTCCCCTTCCCCTCAGGCTGTACGGCGGTTTCTAAAACTGGAGTGCAAGTGCCATGGTGTGAGTGGTTCCTGTACCCTGCGCACCTGCTGGCGTGCACTCTCAGACTTCCGCCGCACAGGTGATTATCTGCGGCGGCGCTATGATGGGGCTGTACAGGTGACGGCCACCCAAGACGGTGCCAACTTCACAGCAGCTCGCCAAGGCTATCGCCGTGCCACCCGGACTGATCTTGTCTACTTTGACAACTCCCCAGACTACTGCGTCTTGGACAAGGCTGCAGGTGAGTAAGGAAGGCAAGCAAGGACATGGGGTCCCAGTTCTTACTGCAGGCGAATCAAGTGAATCAAGTTCTGTTTGGTCTCAGGAGTTAGGGCAGGGGATGCTATGGGAGAAGTCAGTTTTCTCCCCACATGAAAACCTACCCAAGTGGAGAGGAGGTCATTCATTGCCTTCAGACGTGAGGTCAAGTATTGCTTCTTTGCATCACCAGCATTTGTGATACAGTAGGTACTATGCAGTGAATGTTTAGTCACCTGTGTTCAGTTCCAAGCAATGTGTAGGCTACATTAAAGCATAAGATACAGCCCCAAGCTTTTGGGTCTTTACAGTCTAGTTAAAGAAATGAGATACAGTGGGTAGATAGATGCAACCATAAAGAGAAATGACTAGAGAAATCAATAAAAGTTTATTTGTAAATGTAGAATTTAAGCTGCTCCTTGAAGTGTGGGAGTATCTGGATAGTTAGAGAGAAAAGTAGGAAGATATTCTCTGAGCAGAAAGTGGCAGGTGGGAAAGTACATGACTTGTTCCAGGGAAGAGTATGATCAATCTGACTGAGTAAATGTTTCTGGTAGGGAGATTAAAGCTAGAAAGATGTCTTTCAAAGGCTTTATCCAGTGTGCTGCTACTGAAGATTCTAAAATAGATGAAGATTCTAAAATAGAATTGGGAAGAAAGGAAAGAGGAGATACCTACAAAAGTCAGTTAAAGCAACAAATAGTTGGTAGCAAATGGTTGGATGAAAGCAGCAAATGGTTGTTTTTGATCTGTTCTAGATATCTGTGGTGGAATTCTTAGGGATGCTGGAAGGTAATATGGTATTTCACCAAGGGACTGGAAGTTATCATCATGGCTTATATTTCTCGTTCAGATAGGTTAAACTAGAAACAACATGCAATGCAACATAACTGCTCTCCCCCTGGTTACTGTCATGGGCTCCCAGGTTCTTTTCTATAGACTCAACAGTCAGGACTTGGTTAAGGTGGAGCCAAAAACCTTAGCTGCCTTTGGTGCTGTTTCTTTTCACCATTCACTGTCGTTCCTGGAGAGTCAAGTGGCTCAGAGCAAAACTGGCACAGAAACAGGGTGGGGCTCTACCCAAGTAACAGAGAAAGTAGTTTGTATACTTTGTTGAGTACTAGAAGAAAAAAGGTTGAAGAGCCCTTCTGATTCTCCTAGTGATTTGCTGCCAGTAGGTATATTTTCTTCCTCCATGGTCTAACTCAGAGGGTTACTCCCTGGATGCCTAGAAATCATTTCATAACATCTGAAGTGTAAGCCTATAGTACCATACCATGCACATTTGGGGAAGGATCTTAGGAGTTAGGAGAAAGGATGTCATATGTGTGTTGGTTTTTCCCAGAGGCATAACATTAGGTCTCATAAGACCCAAAGTGAGGCTTAGAATTCAAAGAATATAAGTCATCCCAGAAGGGAATATGGAGCCAGGAATTCCCTCCAAAGCAGTTCTGTCCAACTGAACTTTTTGTGATATAGAAATGTTCTCATCTCTCTTCTCCAATACGGTAGCAACTCGCCACATGTGATTACTGAGTACTTGAAATATAGTGCAACCAAGGAACTAAAATTTTTAGTTTCTTTAATTTTAATTAATTTAGATGTAAAAAAAAATCACATGTGGTTGCCTGGTAGCTACTACACTAGACAGGACAGCTCCAGAATGTAAAGGGGGTTTTGGTACATAAGAGAAGGACTTAACCCAGCCCTTGGAGTAAGGAAAATAATATATATAGTAGACCTAGTCAGCCCACACTCTAGAGCAGTGGTCTCCTAACATTTTAGATTGTATACTCCCATCACTAAAAAAAAATTTGTGCATGTGCCTGCATTATATGTATATCTACTTATAAGCTATATCCATGTCCCTAATAATATGTATATTATAAAACATATATATATAATATATATTTTAAATTGATGAGATAAAATAACAAATATAGAAGTTCTAGCATTTTCATTCCATATCCCAGTAAAATGTGGTGACTACTGCTGTAGAAATAAGTTAACTATCCTTCTTTAACCTCATGCTAGTCACTTCCCACTCTGCATCCTTATTAATAAGGGAAAGGGATGGAGTAGTTATGCTCTAGGATCCAACCTATCCACAAAACTCTATTGATTTTATGATCTGTTGGCAGGATCTCTTTTGCTGAACTAGTCAGAATGAAGTCCTAAGCATTTCCTATGCAAGGGGGAAATACCACCCCTACCCTTCAAGAGTTCCCACTGTAAGGGGATAATGTAAGGGATATTCCTTAGGAATTCCTTAGGTATATGCCTCCAGCCAGTCATGCTAATCAGTTCACCTCCTCAGTTGAGCAGATTATAGATATAATAATCTACTAAGTTAGATGCTATTATTATATCTATTTTCATGTGAGAAAACTAAGGCCCATTTTCATATGAGAAACTTAGTTAATATCTCATTTTTACAACATCACACAGTTAAGAAGTGGCAGAACTGGGATTTGAATCCAGACAATCTGACATCAGGGCCCATGCTTTTACTGGCCATGCTATACTACTTCCCTGTATAGTAACAACTTAATATAAACTAAGGGCCAAAATACTAACAAATGGTAGTAGAATTAGAATTGTAGCAAGACTTCTTAGAAGAGATAAATTACAGGCTAAGTTTTTTTTATTATGGAAAATTTCAAACATAAAGTAGAAACCTAGATTTAACAATTATGAACATTTTAATTTTAGAGAGAATATAGAAATGTATATTGGCAGGGAGGGAACTACAGATGAAGTCAGTGGCCTTTGGAGAGCCTTCATGGTGGGAAGAAATAAGCCTGGTGCAGAGCGGGGTGAGAAGATGATCATTTTGGGTAGTAGGTGTACTTTCAGAAAAAGGGATACTTTATGGCTTCCTTCTGAGAATGTGGGTAAGGGTGCCCAGAGGAGCTCAAGTAAGAGGTAACTTGGTTCTCACTCCCTCTCTTCCCCAACCCAGGTTCCCTAGGCACTGCAGGCCGTGTCTGCAGCAAGACATCAAAAGGAACAGATGGTTGTGAAATCATGTGCTGTGGCCGAGGGTACGACACAACTCGAGTCACCCGTGTCACTCAGTGTGAGTGCAAATTCCACTGGTGCTGTGCTGTGCGTTGCAAGGAGTGCAGAAACACTGTGGACGTCCACACTTGCAAAGCCCCCAAGAAGGCAGAGTGGCTGGACCAGACCTGAACACATAGATACCTCACTTATCCCTCCACTTCAAGACTCCCAACTCAAAAGCACAAGATCCTTGCATGCACACCTGCCTCCACCCTCAATCCTGGGCTGCTACAGCTTCTATTTAAGGACTTGGAGAATAATCTAGAGGGACCATGGTGTCCTGACTAGTTCCTTAGCCCTGGGAAGGAGTTGACAGGGGATATGAGAAACTGAACAGCTCCCTGATTTCCTCCTCTGGAGGTATGAATGGAGAGAAGAGGTAGGGGTTCTTCAGAGTGTATGAGTTGCACTAAAGTACCCAGTTAAGGCTCCCTTTTCCTTTCCCTTGCACTGGCTTCCTGACATTTCTTGGATGTGCAAGAGGAAGGGTACCTGGAGAGAGCTTCTTTATTTTTCCTACCTGGCTGAGGTTAGATGGGACAGAGATGAAACCACACGTCCTTTCCTTGGAGTCAGTTTGAGCAGACTGCCTGGTACCCCAAAAGAAAGACGAGGCTACAACATTCCTTTATTATTGAGAGCCTGAGGTTGCTAGACAAGAGTTAGCCAAAGTAGACAAGGTTCCATTCACATGCTCCTATGTTTATAAACTGCTGTGTTTTGTAGGGGGAAAAATCATATAACTATACAAACACACATTAATTCATTCTCTCCCCCTACCCCCTTTTCAATCTATATCAGACAGTATGCTTCTTTTGCTCACTTTGTTGCCTATTGAAACTGAGATGTTATGCAGTGGTTCCCATGCCTAACAGATCATTAGAACAACACCCTAGAACATTCCTGGGATAGAATAAATTAGTAAGTCTAGCTAGGCCTTGGGATTTTTTTCCCCATGTGTTATTCTAGAGGTTAGCCAAGTTTGGAAAACACTAAGTAAAAGATAGGCAACTCATGGAAGGTGGGTGACGGTAAGCAGGCCTGTTCTCAAGGGGCCACATGAGGTATAAGTGTATACTAAGCAGGTAGGGATCACTGGCTTTAGTAATTCTTTAGAAGAGGATCCTAGCCTTTGAAGCTAGGAGCAGGAGGCAGTGGCTACAGTGGGAAGGACAGCTGGGGCTTGGGCCAAAGTGGTAAACAGCTTAGAAGGCAGCCTTCCTCCATTTACTCAACAAATCTTTAGTGACTCTCCAAGTCCTGGTGATTATTATTGTTCACTCCACATTTGGCTTAAATAGGGAGGGTTCCTTCTATGTAAGTACCTGTTACTTAACTAGGTATGCAGTAGTGGAGTCTCCAGAGATAGCAGATAGTAAGCTGGAGGGTAGGACATGAAGTCCCAAAAACCTTGATGTCCTATTTTTATGTGACTTGGTCAGAGGTTATCTCTTGGCTGTTGATATTTTTTAAAGCAGCAGAATGGTGTAGAAATTTGCAGTTATGGTAGACTTGGCTTAAAATCATAGCTGTGCTGCTTGTTTTTGATATTTTGGAGCAAGATATCTAAATTCTTCAAGCTTCCATTTTCTCATCTGTAAAATGATGATATATACCTATCTCAGATATTGAGTTTTAATTATGCCCCAAACTCCAGCCAACAGAACTCTTCACCAAAGCCTCTGACTATCCTACCCCATTATGACTTCTCTAGGAACCTTCAATTTAGGACTGTAAAGTATTGACAGGCTGTAGATTAAGGGACCTACATAAGGAATTCTGGATATAAGCCTCCTTTCATTTCCCAAGTTCCTCTCCAATATCCCTTGGGTCCTCATATGTTTGTGAAGCAGCTTCACTCTGCACAGGCAGCAGGAGGTTGGGGGAGCCATAGCTCTAGGCCACGGGGACAGATTTATTTGGATGATAGGACTAATATTTGTGTAACCTGCTGAGACCTGTGTGGGAGAGTCTAGGGTGGTTTTTCTTTTGGTGAGGGGATTTGCTCCGGTTTCACAACCATTAACACAAAACATGAGCTAGTCAGGGCCCTTGTGGTCTGCGGTGAGGGGATGCCTGTGGAGAAATGGGACTGAGTGAGTCAGGCTAGGGGAATGTCTTCCTTGCAGAGTGGGGTCAACTGGTTAACTGATGAGCCAAAGGTAGGATTAGGGAGGGGGGAATGGGAGGGGAAAAGGAGCTTCTGACATCTTGAGCTGGGATTAAGAGGAGGAAAGCTTTGGGGTAGTGGAGAGGTAAGGGGGTCGGTCATGGTCAGTCTACACTCAAGAATAGGGTTGAATGAATTTGCAAAAGGCTGCTGCCTTGTATGCCGGGCTGCTGGGAAGAACCTCAGGTCCCAGCCAGCCCCTGCTCTCACAAGAACGTCCAGGTTACCACATAAGTGATGCATAAGCCTTCCGTGGGAAATCAACCCAAGTTAGATCGACCTGTGCCCTGTTATCTATTCTTTGGTTTTTGGTTCTCACCCTGTGGAAGGAAGTAGGCCTCTTCTGGCATCTCATACTTCTCTATGCTTTCCCCTGAGCTCCAAATTGTAGCTCATAAAATGCAAGTTTTACAATTTCCTATAAATGGTTAAGAGAAGAGCAGTCTGTCCAGAAGAGTGAGAAGTTTGAAAATTGAGGTAGATAAATGAGAGAAAGGATGTCCATTTGAGCCCCACCTCAGAGGCCATGTGGCCCCAAGAAGGAATCATGGCCAAGCAGTTAATTTTTCCTCTTAGTCCTTAGCTTGCCTCAGCATTCCGATTGGCTTTAGATAACTGGCGTCCATTCTGCACTATACAAACAGAAACTAATTTATTTGGAACAAGCAGCAAAATGAGAACTTTATTTGGTGCAGTCAGGGCTCCATTTAGTTCCTTCATGCTGCTTCTAATCACCCTCTCTCCCATTCCTCCTCTATCTCATAGAGGTCCGTCCCTCATATCAGCAGTGTCTTAGGCCCTCTCCTCTCTTCTACTCCTTCCTGTTGGTACTCATTTCTTCTTATAATAAATAGTTAGGTGTAATGTATTGCAGTAAGTGCTATTTAGATACAAAGTTTACTTAAAAGATACTATCTCTATCCCTTAAGGATCTTACTATAGAATCCTTTAGAGAAGGCACATGACTGAAGTACCTCAGCTGCACAGCCTGTACCCAGTTTTTCTTATGTAAAAGTAAAAATGCCCACTTTAACCTAGCTCTCCAGATAAGAGCCAACTTTTATTATTACTGGCCCTGAATAATGGCTCCAACCCACACTCTTCCTTAGAGTGATGCTGGTAAAATGAAATCAGGGACTTTAATTAAGAGAATCAAACATTGCCATGGCCCTGAGAGTCAGTTTGTAAAATGTCTTACAGATCTAACTCACTGCCTCATTTCTATTCCTCTCTGTTGCAAAGAGTAATTTCTTCTCCTTTCCTTTACTTCCCTTATCAAGAACACCAACCACTAAGTCTCTGCCAAATTCTCAGACCCAGTCAGGACAGGAGTCTTTACATTTCTTAATAGAAAAGAGATAACAGAAAGGCTGAGGATTTTTTCCCTCGGCCTTTCTGAGGTTTTTATTTAAATGCTCTAAGTGGTCATAGGGCAGAAGCCCAGGCTAGCCAGGGAGAGCGGAGTACACCAGGGAGAGTATGTTTCTCATCTCTGGGAAGCATTCAGCCTAGCTCCTGCAGCCAAATTACAGCACCAGAGAACAATGTGGTGCATTCCTGGGCAGGTCGGTGGGACCCTGGGCGCCTGGGCCTTCTGGAGAGAGGTGCCAGACACAGAGCTCTCCGTAAGCAATCCTGCAGAGCCGCCCCCTGGGTGCAGAAATGAAATACGGGAGAGCTTCACATTACACAGAGACCCATACCTCACACCTGGTTATTGATGGCCTTGGTGAAGGCCTCTGCCCCCATCCTCCACTTGGGAACTGCCTGCTACTACGGGGGTTGGGCATCTTGGAAGCAATGTTGGAAAACAAGAAAGAGTTGCTTCCTTTTCACTCTTTGCCTTCCTTGTCAGCCTGAGCACAACCATCAGGTTACACACACACATGAAGTGGACGTATGTGGATCCACACTTAGCTTCCCTAGGCTGCACAGGAGCTCTAGGCATTCCTCTCTCCCCAACAATTAGAAAAAAAGCAACTAGATTTCAATCCAGTCATTCAAAATCATACCAACAGAGTCCAGCTATAACCAAGGAATATTACAAAGTTACATTATCAACATGCAGGCAGCTGATTGGTTTCGGAGATAGTGGGGGGAAGAATGAAGAAAGGGCATGAAGAGAAGAGATCAATGGTGGAGAATTACCAACTAAGCACAGTGGCAGAGACTGTACAACTTCTCAAAGCTGGTTCATGCCATAGATAGTGAGATTTGCACTCTATATGCTGTGAATGCTGGGGCAGTCTCCTATGACTACATGAGGTATAATTGCTAAGCTTGCTGCTAATGACCTGTTGTTGTTTTTGACACTTATTGGGTTAGAAAACAGGGTAGCTTTGAATTCCAGGATGGTCTCCTTAAGAGAAGCACTGGAAGAGAACAAGCAATGGCTTTATTAGGGTAACTATGTCACATTTGCTCCATTGAACTGAGCTTTCCCAGAAGCTATTATTCTTTTTGGGTGGGCAAGTTTCAGGCAATAGCTAGTGGTATGTCTGTAATATGACGACAAAGGTAAGAGGGATAGAAAAGAGAGTTTATAAGCTCATTTTCCCACTTCCCACTTATGGCTTAAATTATCTCTGAGCATCTTTGTGGCTATTCTTCATTTATTTAAGATGTGTTAGTCATCCTAGATTAAGAATGCAAAGTAAGCATTCTCCCTTTGGCCCCCTATTTTTGAAATATTCTGGTTTTAAAATTACCCTTTCTCATGGATATAGCAGCTGGACATGGGAGTTCTCTCTCTGACCAAAGAAGCCAAAATCTGGTGACTTGACTTCAATCCCACCAGCCCCATAAGCAGGCCTGACCAAACAGAAAGGCTAAGCTGAATGAAGAAAAAAGGAAGACAATTTCATCTACAGTTGTCCTATTTGACAACTTGGGGCTTCCCCAAGAATAACGATAGCATTTTCAGATGTGAGGGCAGTCTGGCTGTGACATCTGTTACCCCATTGATTGCCAGGGTTGATTCGGCTGATCTGGCTGGCTAGGCAGGTGTCCCCTTCCTCCCTCACTGTTCCATGTGCATCCCTCCCGAAGCTGTGTGCTCATTGGAAGAGGACGACCTTCCCCGCTAGAGGAGGACCGGTCTTCAGGTTCGGTTAAGGGTATGCAAGTAGCTGCACTCCCCTGCTAGAACTTCCAAAAACAAGCTCTCAAAAACGCTTTTTCATTTACAAAATGCTTTAGCATATATGTAATCCTCACAACAACCCTTTGAGGTAAAGGTTACTATCACCTTACAGATGTGGTTCAGTGATTTGCCCAAGGTCACATGGACAGTGAGTGGCGCAGCCAGAACTCAAACCTAGGCCTTCTGACTTCAAATCCTGTGTACTCTCCTCAAAGCTTGAGGATGCCCAGGGTTGGGGGTGCCAGAGTCCCAGCACCTTCAAAACAAAAATTGATACAAAATATTCAAGCCCTACAGGAGTCTAGGACTACCAGGAGAGTATATCAAAGCAGAGTTTACAAAGGAATAACCACTGTAGGTCTTCCGCACCTCATCAACAAATCCCCTTTTTACCATTTCTGGCACTGTCACCACCACCACCATGTGATCACTATACCTAGTATTACACATTTAAACAACTCTGGCTTTTAGTTCTATTTTTTCCCCTCTCCAGATTAACATTAAAATTTTTGTTTTAATTTTATCTAGTTCTTTTAAAATGATGTTAAATGTGTAGACAGAGTAGAAGTAGTCATATGAAGCCAAGAGAGGAAATTATTAAGACTTTGGGCTTTTTAAAAGTATTTATTAGAATTTCCTTTGAGTCAAAATGCTGTCAACTCCTGGGTTAGGAAAGTAAAAACAGGGAGTAAGCATGCTAAGAAACCATCCTGGCCAGGCGTGGTAGCTCACGCCTGTAATCCTAGCACTCTGGGAGGCCAAGGCAGACAGATAGCTCGAAGTCAGGAGTTTGAAACCAACCTGAGCAAGAGCAAGACCCCGTCTCTACTAAAAATAGAAAGAAATTAATTGATCAACTAAAAATACATAGAAAAAATTAGCTGGGCATGGTGGCGCATGCCTGTAGTACCAGCTACTTGGGAGGCTGAGGCAGAAAGATTGCTTGAGCCCAGGACTTTGAGGTTGCTGTGAGCTAGGCTGATGCCACGGCACTCTAGCCAGGGCAACAGAGTGAGACTCTGTCTCAAAAAAAAAAGAAACCATCTTATCCTAATCCAAATGTTTACCCATGGCCCAGTAGAAGCCAAAATCCATGGACCTCTAGCTGAGACTAGCAATTCATCTACACCAAATCAAGGAGTATCTACCCTACAGAGAAACCCCTGTGAGAGGAGGCAGACAACAGATTTTCACTTGATCAAAAATCTTTGCAACTCTCAACCCCTCTTCCCACCCTCATTCAAAATCTAGATGTTTATGTGCAAGACATTAAGAAAATGCAGCTCCAAGAGACGATGTGTGCAAGGGGAACTCTTCCCTGTTCAATCCTGGAATGTATCCCATTAGAGACAGCACAAGCCTTTGTATACCCTGCCTATCCTACTCCTGCACCCCAACTGTGAAGGCAGAAGGGAAAACTGCAGGAATACAATGTTCATCAATCATAGACCTGGGATGCTATAGCTCCTTGACCTGGGCCCCTGCTTGAGCTAGGGGAAGAATACCTCATGAAAAGTCTACCTATAGTCAGGACTTCTCTCAGAGCAAACCTTACTTTTTGGTCCATCGATCTTGGCTCTCACTGCTCTCCCTGCTTCCCACCCCCACTGCCTCCGCATGTGGGCTCAGAAGTCATCATCTAAAGAATTCCATTGCTCACCTCCTGCATAGCAGCACAGCCCCATGAGGCCACACACCAGATGGAGGGGATAAAAGTACGAGGTCATGGCTTCTAGCAAGAGGCTTTTTCTTAAACTAAGCCTGACTCCTGGAAAAGAGGCAGAGCAGGAGAGTGTCGAGTGAGCTGTTGATGACAGCAGCTTCATAGGTCTTGTGTAAAAAGGAAGGAAAAAGCTAACATGGCTTTCAGTGGAAATTTCCCTACTCTCATCTCCAGGTGTATTCCTGGTCTCACATCTACTTTTTTTTTTTTGAGACAGAGTCTCACTTTGTTGCCCAGGCTAGAGTGATCACATCTACTTCTTGAAGGTGTCTGAGTAGAATGCAGAGATTGTCAAACTCGAGGGTTAAATCCTTCTCAATTGCAGGGGTCTGTTCAGCAGGCTGCCACACACATGCTGAGGTGGAGGCCAAGCCCTGACCACATGCCCTATTTCTCTAGGAATGTAACCATGAAGTAAAGGGAAATGGTATGGAAGGTGGACCAGAACTCTGGGGAAATTGTAAAGGTCATCAGTAGGCCTTCAAAATGTTTGTGTATAATAAATAAAGACAAGGGGATGGAGGAAGATCATTATTCCTAGAATCATTATGCTTGTTGGGTGACAGTGTACACAAGCAACAATTTACAATGTAAACAGTTCAATGAAGTGGGAAACAGAAGTCTCAGAATAAAGGAATTAGGTAAATAAGATTAATTAGAGATGGTTTTCTACAGGAGGTAGATTTTTAAAAGATAATGCATGAATTGGTTAAGGACAGTTGAGAGGGCAATTTAAATAGAAGGAACTGGTATGTGCTGAAAGTAGAATGTATAAGCAATATATAAGGAAGTTCAAGCAAGTACACGTTATATACAGTGGGGAATACAGAGAAATTAGAATTCTGAGATCAGGACTTAAATAATGTGAGATGACTGTATGTACCCAGACCGTCAAATAGTTCAGAGTCCTCTATTGATCTACGTCAGTAAATACCAGTGCATCTATGGAAAAGCACAAGGATGAATCCAATTGTTATAGATACAGGAACTACAAGAGATCTATATTGTAAAGTTCAACAAAATACTACATACATATCATTAACTATAGCTCCTTATCATTTGAGATTCTGGACTAAGAAAGGGATATCAAATATCCTCTCCAGAACTGTGATACATTAATGTAGGCTTATAGCCCCAGAATCTGGCATAAATCAAGCCAAACCCTTAAGAAATTAGAATGTGAAAAGGGAATAATCTAAAATAGAAAACAAAGGCTTCTCTCCTTTACTCCCTTAAAACTCGACTGGTCCCCTCTATTCTATTTGGTATATTGGACTTTTGTGGCTAGCAGATTCATCATATCTCATGAATATATCTGAGACAACAGTGAATAGGAGAAGAGCTGCAAAGACCTTAAGAGACTGAAATACAAGTTCACTAATAAACGAGATAATTCTAGTATACTATAAGGAGCAGCAGCCAAAGAAGGAGACAAATTCTGATTTCATGATTTCCAGTTAGGTGTCTGGCTTCCTGCATTTGCTGAAGGTAAAAACAGCTATTTACTAGTCTTCTGCAATACTTCTTAACCAGACTTCCCTAACTTCTGAGAATAAAAACCACAAGGACAATCCTGTTCTTCCAGAGCAGTTCTCTGGTGCCACTTTCAGAAAAAGTATATTGGACTGTGGGTCTGATCCAGTGTAGTATATATGTTTTAAGCACATTGAGTAGTATAGTATGTAGTATATATGTTTTAAGCACATAAGCCAAAAGGTGAGCAGTGTTCTAGGTTTAACTGGCACAATTTGGTGTTGGAAGGGAGGTAGCCACTACACAGTGATAGCATTTGTTAGTATCATCTTAGTTTTCCCCACTCCCCTAGGCAGTTTATAAAAGGTGATTTCTGAAACCCTTCACAAAAGAAAAGCTCAAGGGTTTACATTCAACTATGACAGCACTATGAATTCATTAAGAAGCATGTTTCAGGTTGCACTATAATTTCCCTATGTAACATAAACCCATGGAATCTGACATAAGCTGATTGCTCATGCTGGTTATTTTATTTACATTTCTGAATGGAAGGGATTTCAATACTCATAAAATATCTAACTGACTTATTATTTTTCATCTGTTCTCCCAGAGCACCTATTATAGAATAGGCATAGAGACCAGAAGTCTCAACTTGTATGACTGGTTAAGCAACAAGGGAAAAGTAATTGCTCAAAAAGCAATTTAAAAAATTCAATATAGAACTTGAGGCCAAAAAAGAGATTTGGTTACTCTCAATGCCATCTGAAAGATAAAAGTTAAAAAAAAAAAAAAGTTAAGTAACTTTTCATTATCTTTATCCAAGTCCTATAGAAGTAGATGGTAACTTTGCAGGAACTCAGTGGAGCTGGAGTTTACATCTTTCTCTGGGGACCTGATATTAGCAGACACCATCACTAGTATGAACAGGAATGCAGGCAAATGGATCAGAGTGGGCTCCCTAACATCCAGATATATGAATGTGCCTCCTTACCCATGTGCTACATATTAGACCTCTGAATTAGAAGATGCCATCATGAATCTAACTCACCATCTGGAGATGTATATTTTGTTAACCTACCCAAAGAATAATAATTTCTGCTTATTCCACTAGGTGTGACAAGCTCAGATATAGACTGCTAGAGAAGTAACAGTCACCAATCAAGTAAATTCCAAAGTCTGATCCCTAGTCTTCTGCCTCCAACTCATTGTTCAGATACTCTTACTTCCTTTCTTCTGCTGCAACACTGAGTTAAATCAGTATATCCTTCAACCCTATAGTACAACCTTGGGCCTACTCTTCTACTCCATATACTTCCATTGTTTTACTGTATTTATTGATTACATGCCTAATTTGTATAAACTCAAGGACTGCCTATTTCAAAATATGTATTTTAAGGTCATATCCCCAGTGATCCAGCTAATACATATTACTTTACTAAGACAGCCAAATAAAGATTGGAAATATTTTTTAGTTACTTGAAAATAATCTTGATGGTTACCCCTGTAGTAAAGGTGTAGAATTGTCAAGGATGCAGAATTGATCAGCAAAATTCAGCTTGGAAGAAAAGCTAAAGGAAACTTATTTTATTGCCTTATCTCAATATCCTTTATTTAGTTTTTAAATTAACATGATACATGCCTGTTTTCAGAATCAGTGACTGCCAAATGTAACTTTGACATTAACAAGTGAAGTCTGGGAAATTCTGGGTAGATCTTTCCTATTCTCTCTCACATGTCCATAGAGCCAAGTAATTTTGGTCCAAACTCTTACTAGTCCCCTTTGCTTCACAATGACACCACATTATTTCATTTTCAAAACCAGGATGGTCCCTCATCCTTATTAATCTGTCATTATTAGGAGAGGAAATAAAAGAAGATGAAATATATGAGCATAGAAGACTTTGTCTTATGGAAATTACTATGTGAATCTGAGGTGAGACATTCATTAAATTTTGAATTGTGGAGCTCTTCATTTTTTGATAAATTCTAAACTATTCATATAAACATTATAATAAATACCACTATTTGTGAAAACATGAACTTCAACAGTTAGGTATAAAGATGAAAGTACTTCATGTTGCATACTTGAAAAAGAACAAAATAAAAATACCTCTTTCTATATCTTCTTATTGGACTTAAAGGAATCCTAACCAATAAATTCTTCTGAAAGTAAGGGTACTCTGTGAGTTTCTCTCTCTCTCTCTCTCTCTAAATACAATTATATATATATATGTATACACACACTTTTTTTTTTTTTTTTTTTGAGACAGAGTCTCTTTTGCCCAGGGCTAGAATGCAGTAGAATGCAGTGGCATCATCATAGCTCACTGCAACCTCAAACTCCTGGGCTCATGAGAGCCTCCTTGTCTCAGCCTCCCAAGTAGCTGGGACTACAGCCATGCACTTCCATGCCCGGCTAATTTTTCTTCTTATTTTTTGTGGAGACAGAGTCTTGCTATTGCCCAGGCTAGTCTTGAACTCCTGGACTCAACTCCTGGACTCAACTCCCACTTTGGTCTCTCAAAGTGCTAGGATTACTGACGTGAGCCACTGTTTCTGGCCTTAGATTGACTTTTTGGGTCATTATATTTTATGGAAGGCATGTGAAAATAACTCAGTAGTCACTTCCAGTCAAATGAATAAATATTTGAGGGTGAACTAACCTATTGTGGCAGTAGCCTCTACATTATACTAGTATATCTTCTTGCCCATCTCAAACTCTCTACCACTAGACTATGAGCTACTAGTGAACAGGGACTATATTTTATACTTCATAAAGGTACCCAATGAATTCAAAACTAAAAGACTTAGTATATGTTATAGAACAAGTATTACCATATTATAGCATGTTATAGAACAATTATTACCATATTTTAAAATGCGGAGGCACTTAAAAAAACCTAAAGTTTAAGAACAAATTAAGATAAACCCTATTGGAGTGCTTTCATTCAATAAGCCAATATTGAAAGAAGACTCTTTTCAGGGTATCCAGGACTCCCTGAACTGCACGTTCTACTGCAGTTTTTGTTTTGTTTTGTTAAAGGTGGTATTACACTAGCTAAAATTCACCAAGAGCAAATTAATAATAATGGTTTTCACAGCCAGAGCTTAGCTGAATTAGAATCCCTGGACTCCCAATACAGGGTAAACCCCCAAAAGGATCAAAGTCAAGTAAATTAAAAATCCAGCTGAATTTTATCAGAGGGCAAAATTTCAACTTCTGAGTACCCCAGCAACCAAGGATGAATTATGTATAAGATTAGTTAAGTGCCTTCATCCACACCCCAGCCAGAGAACATTTTTCTATCTCACTGTGACTGAAGGAAAAACAGCAATGTATTTGCCTGCCAAGAACAGCTGTGGCTGTACTGTAGATAGGAGTCTAACAGCACTGAGGGATTAAAATATAATTGTAAAGCTGCTGCTACCTAGGAGTAAAAACTTGAACTCTGGCTCCAGAAAGAAATATATACTCCAGCATATTGAACAGACAAGGACAAGAGCTGGCATGTTCCTAACAAAGAGTGTGAGAATATGCTTCCTTCTTAAGTTGTCCCCCAAACTGTTTCTTTTTGTGTACATCACACTGGTCATATGCAAGGATACTTACTGGAAATATAGCCCTTTTCTATACTTTGAACAGTACATATATGTCTTATTTCCAAAATGCTTGAAATTCTGATGAGATCAGAAGGTGATTATGTGGTCTGAATTCTCTGAATATCAGTTCTTTTAATTTTGTTGAGATCACCTAAAGCACAAATAATTTCTTTTCTTGAAGCTGGCTACTGTCAAGATGGACTTAAGGCAATCTTAATGTTATTACAGAACAAAGATAATTTTCTCCTCAAATTCAGATAGAATACCATTAAAATCTAATTTTTTACTGAGGCTTTGTTAGCATTAAGGAACATACCCAAGTTTCCTATCTATTGATACAACTACTAGAAATATATCTGCTACCTAGAATTCCCACTTTAGCAAAAAAAAAAAAAAAAAAAAAATCCCACAAGTTATATTTTAGACCAAAAGTTTATTATGTTCAGTTTAACTTTGCCCCATAATCCTTCTAAACTTGCCTTTTGATTTTGAAAGAAGACTGATATTAAAACATAAGATGTACATTTACACTTTATATTAAAACTTTTTTTGGAGGGAGTATAATTTCTGAGAATCAAATTCTCCCTGAATTATTACAAACAAGGGTCTAATGTTTCCTTAGTATTACTATACATTTTAGGCAGTTAGGCTAAAGTCCATTATACCGTAATGTATGTGATGGAAATAACCAAACAGTGTTCTTTCTTAAGTAGCTAACTAGCAAGAAGAGGAATGAAACTGGAAGGAACCAGTTTGAAAGACAGAAAAGCAAATGTGCATTCTTTATTGAAAAGCCTCAGAATTCATCAAATAGACTTACACTGTGAAGAGTTCTCTCAGGCAGCTTATTTGCCTACTAATATCCTTGCCTTTCAGTAAGCATTTCTCCAACCTAATTACCCTTTCTCTTTTTCTGACAATCTACATCAGCCTCTTTAAAACTCTTCTCCAAATTCCAACTCTTATAGGAAGACTTCTCTAGCAAGCCACTGGACTATCTCAACTCTTCATTCTATATTCCCTCAGTATTACTATATCTGGTTTGAAATTTATTCTTTTGTACTCATTTTGGTATAAGTTGTGATATGATTTATTATTGAAACCAAAAATATATATCATAGCTAAAAGTAACAGGCTATCATATCTATTGTGTAATTTTAGGCATATCACTTAACTTTGAAAACTCAAATTTCCCATCTATGATGTTAGAAGATTATAATCTGTCCTTCAATGGCTCCAAGTAAGAATAAATGAGAATATAAGTATAAACTCTTAAAAAAAGATAAGAACTAACCAAAGTCCAAGTTACTCTTATTTAGAATTATATTAAGTAGTCTTACTAATTTAATTCTTTTGAGCATTAGAAATTTGATTGCTAGGGCAAGGGAGCAAAACTCAAGAAAAATGCTAAGAACTATTTCTTAAGATTATAATTGTTGTCTTCTGTATCCCATTATTTTCTACATTTAGAGGACTATGCTGGGTCTGCAAAAGACAAGGATGTTTTCTAAAACAAAGATCTGCATGTTTCCTAATGTGAATTTTAATATCACTAGTGTAATAGGTTTAGAATGAGCAATTTACATCACTTTCTAACCACAGCTCTTCTAAAAACTGCTAAGCAGTACATGTGCCTCAAGTGCTAATGATTTATGCAATAAATATATTAGTAGCAGTTCTCTCAGGCAGCTTATTTGCCTACTAAATAAGGTTTAGTGACAGGATATCCTAAACCTTAGCACTAAGACTTTCACTTTGAGGGGGAAAAATGATTAAATATACTGCCAAACAAATTCAGGGAGCACTTCAGTGAATTTGATACTTGACAGGCACATGTTAATAGGAAAAAGGGTGTTTTCTACAAACTTTATGACTGAATTTAACCGTGGGGAAAGAATATAGACATGCATTAAAAAGTATATTGTCCTAACTTTCATTCTCCTCCCCTCCCACCTTTGAAAATAAGAGTTTAGTACTTAGAGAATTTAGATAAAGAAGAATATTAGCAATTTCACAAATTTCTCAGTCTGGTTCTTTATGAAACATAACGTTATAGGAAGTAGAGGACATCTTTTCTCTTATACAAATATCTCAGTTAATAAAGAAAATCAAAATTGGATATGCCAGGCTGCCCAAATAAAGACTTTAGGTTAGTTTCTCACCATTAAAAGAGAGAGAAGGTGAGTGTGTGTGTGTGTGTGTGTGTATGTGTGTGTGTATAAAAGAGACTTAGGAGCACCAACAATGGAACAAAAGTGTAGACATATAAAAATTTTGACCTGTTACATAATAGGCTCATTTTATTATCTGTATTGTTTCCAGGAAATGCCTCAGATGTGCATTATTATGGAAATAGCACAGTTACAAATTATTTTACAGAAATATAAGTTTAGCTACAATTCAAAAGTTTTCAAAACTATATCAGTTCTTATAAACTTAAGAAGTCTCATAGCTTTGAAAAATAATCCATTTTTAAACAAAATGAAGAAATATACTTAAATGTCAGTTTAATTTCTGAATGGGCCTTATGTATTTAATAAAGAGGTATACAACTATTATAGGTTTTTGGTATTAATGAAGTCAGATGGAGAATAGAAAAAAAAGTCTTTCACCCATGAACAATTTTCATATCACTGGTTATGACAATGGAAAGCTAAGAACCTTTAAAAATAACCATATATTTTCTATTAGTAAATATTAACATATAGTTATAACTGTCTTTCAACTCCCCTAGTTCTGAAGATGATCTTTGCCCTGGAAAAAATGACAACAGTGAACAATCTTCCCAAAAGTTTTGCTCATTATTCAGTAAAAGACACTTGGCATTTATATCTGCTTATTATTTTTAAAAATGCAATTTGGGAAGAAAATTTTTAATTATTTTTGGGAAGGGGCTGAAGAAACACCAGTGAGACATTCTGTAGAGAGGTCCTTTGTTAGTGTAACATCTGACCTTCTATATCTTTGGAAATCATACAACTTGGCTAATGTAGTCCTTAAAGAATTAATCAAGCAGACTGTAAGGCCCTAGTTACAGTGGAGCCAGCCAATTATGAGTTGCTCAGAAATTCATCACTGGCATGTCCAACCACATTTTCCCACATAAAGATTAGTAGAAATATGTGAAAACAGGGCCCATTCCCACCCAAGCACAGCTACAATATGCGTTTAGTGAAACAGATTTCAACAAAGTTTTGCCCTAGTAAAAGAGACAATTTATTTGGGAATCTGTTTGATACTGTCTTTACCTGTAACATGTCTTTTCTATCAACATTGCAAAGGCTTCCTTGTTTAGTTAAAACTCAAACAGGGATTTTTATATTCAAACACACTTCTGAATTCAAAGCACTAAAGTCACATGCCACAAGCCTGAATTCATCAGTAAGTTAGTGAAATCCCCAAAGACCATCTTTGAGTCTTTTCACTGTTGTGATAACACCCTCCCAAGGCTTACTAAAAAGAAAGCTTTTCTTGCAAGAAAGAAATGAAAGGGGCTAGAGTAGATGAAGATTGGTTCTCTAAGGAGAGAGCAATGCTGCTCTTAAATAAAGAAGCTCCTTTCAGATAAGCAGAATCAGATTCCAGTTCAGTTGGTTTGCTGGCTACCCTCACTTTGAACTCTCATATTTAACCCAGCAGGCTTCAAAGCAGGTGAGAAAATGACCTACCACTTAAAAGCAATTTTTCCTTTTTCAGGAATTCTGGCCTTGGAGAATATCAGCTCTGATATCAGCACATTCCACATCTCCAGGGATTTATGCAACTTTTTTTCATTGCTCTATGTCTAATGTCAGACTCAGTTTTCATCTCAGCCAGGAGAAAAATCAAGGGGGAACAATCCTAAGTTGCTGAAAATGAAGTCTTATTCCACATTGCCTTGCACCATGCAAAAGAAGAGGCACTAAAAACTAGCCATTCTAGTTCATTCCCTTTTATTTATGTAAATCTGATGTATGGTGAGAATTATTAAAAATCAGTCCCTAGTGCTTGGCTTCACAAAAAAGCAACTTTTATAACAAATACATTTTAAGAAATCACAATTGAATTTGCTCTAGTATGTGAGCTAACACAAAAAGATCAGATAAGGAAGAGAAAATAGTAACAACAAAGAAACTTAGGAAATTTTCTTAAATTACTTTTTGTTACTAAATAATGAGTATGTTTCAAATATTCGTCATCAATTTCTACTTAAGCCACCAAATAGCTGACTTTATTGAAAATCCTAACACAGGCAGTTTGCAGCTAACCAAGAGGTTCTGTTCTACAAGAACTGAAGTACCTGGAGCATGAATGAAACATATCTATCTCCACTTTCAAATAAGCATAATGTACCAGAAGTATAACACTAATAGTATTTTTTAAATGACACTCAGCCACCACTTATACTACAGTTTCTATGGAAAAATGCACTTTGAGCTTACTGTAGGACATATTTCCGCAAAACATGAAGAGGGTAGGATTTCCCACTATTGTTGCACTTTGGTGATGATGATGATAATGAAGGAGGCAACAACAGCCAGCACTTACCTACTTTTTACTGTGCGCAGACATGGTCCTAAACACGATATATTTCAAACTCATTTAATCCTCACCAAAGCCTATGAGTGGCAGTACTAGCTTCATTTTATAATTTATGGTAGAAAAGGTTAAGTAACTTACCTGAGGCTGTACAGCCAGTAAGTTTCAGGGCCAGAATTCAAAGCAAAGCAGTCTGCCTCCAGAGTTTATGCTCTAACACTCCACAATGCTGCCCCTTCTCCACCGTGACAGGGTGGCACTATCCAGGTGTTCTAAATTCCTCATATTAGGTGTAGAATAGAGCAGGGCTTCTCAACTTTTAAATGTGCATATAGAATCACTTGAGGATCTTGCTAAAATGCAGATTCTGATTCAGGAGGTCTGGAGTGGTGCCTGAAGTTCTGCCTTTTGAATAAACTCCTGGATGATGGTGAGTGTTCCTAGTTCGTATACCACACTCTATGAAGGCGAATTTGAGCCTCTAGGTCCCTTGCTGTTTGTCTGACAAGGCATATATGTGTTGTGTTCATAAGCTGGACACCACCTTATATTGTAATCATTTTCCATTAACTGTTAAATGGAACCTGCTCTTGGAACTGCAGAACAACTATTGATTTGCAAGTACTTTCAGTAAATACTTAGTTAAAAAAAACTTTTAAATGTACTTATAAAGGCTACAGGGATAAAATGGGCTATAAAAATTCACTGTCAGGCACATTTTTGACACTATATACCACAACTCTACAAATACCAAAGGATAGTGAATAAATCCTTATTTATTGCTCATCAGCTAAAATCACAGTATATCAATATTTTTGGTCTAAAAAAGAAGCTTCCACTTCAAATATGTAATTATTCATTCTCAGACTCTGCTAACGGAGTGCTAAGGAACTTATGCTATGTAATCCTAAAGGCTCTTCTGGTGCCATTAGTGACCTCTTAGGTAAAAGCAGACACTGTATACTAGCAATGATGGATAGAGCATCCGTTGAGTACACTCCACATTAATTTTAGTCAGAACCCCATGGAAATATGCTTCTAACAAATGCTACATATCTATTCCAGATTCTAGATCTCCCTCCCTGCTCTATTATACCTCCTTCCCAACCCAGTGCCCTGAGAGAAACCCAAGAATCATCTCTCCTATTGCTTGCCTGTGATCTCAAATACACAGTTGCACACTTTTTTCCAGCTGTTAAATGGATGAAATTCCCTTTTTATTCCATCTTTTTTCAATGCCAGATTACACAGTAAGGTCATTTCAGTTTGAGAGGTACTCACTCAACTATCAGCACCACTGCAAACAACAGAGTTATGGGTCTGATCATTAAGCTTCCTTTTTACACTGAAAGGAAATAGAATAGTCAATCTCCAACCCAAATATCTATACTTCCTAAACAATAGTGGAAAGTAATTCTTCTTGAAGCTTGACCCAGAATCAAATACAAACTCAGACTCCTAGGCCTACAGCCAGTGGCAACTTAGCACATTATATGGTTGACCTTCAGGGAAAAAGGAAAACCAGTGCTCTTACCACTGGTGCCAGAAGAAAGCCAAACTAATCTTTAAGGCACAAAATAAACTATTCTTAAGGCAAGAAAAGAAATTGTGAGGAAACAGGGATTTAGAATGGAGGCATATAGAGAAAAATACAGAAAATCATTACTAAGACTAGTTTTTTTGTGGTTCTCAGTGCTTTTATATTTGGGAATATAATGAGTCAGCAGTTTCTTCTTGTGTTTTAACTCTTATTACTTGGTAAAAATTCAAAGATGTACAAGAAGAATATAGTTTTAAAAAGGTATAGAGACTTAAAGGGAATTATCTTTGGTAAGATAATTTTGAGCCAGTGATATTACTTAATAAGTTTATGTGGAAGAGTCATGGGATACATACTCTAATATCAGTCCTTACGTTTTTTCCTGGGTCAGAAAATTGGGAAGCAGTTCAAAACTAAAGGGTAAAATGAAAATAAAGGTCTATACATGTTCTATACTCAAGTTTAGGGAAGGTCAAAAAGAACACACAGACACAATAACTGGGAGAACCTTTGTGTATATAGATAGGCACATTCTGTACCCAGGGCAATGTCTTATCTGTCCCATCTTACCTACTTACTATCCATCCTAGTTGTGTTCTTGAATTTAAAGTTCAGAAATCCTTAGAACTAATGATTTCATTTAAATGGAAAAATCAAAAGGCTTGTTTACAAAATAGGGAATTTTTTTTAATGCCAAAGAAAATGAAATAATGGTAAAAAAGAGTTGGATTATTCTTTAGCTAGTAACAAGTGCTATGTTTATCACCCAAAGTGATCTACAAGAACCAACTTTATAATGTTATATTGTTATAATGTTATATTGCATTCTTTAAACTTTTAAGCAACAGAAGTATAGCTCAAATCACACATAAAAAACATGTTTGACATATGTATGTCAGCAACTTTACAAATCAATTCCTGTAATTTACTATAACAAATATCTTCTACTTCTCAACTGGGTTAGCACAAGTAGATCAGAGATGGTTTCTTGTGTGTTTTACAAATACTCTATACAAGTCCTTGAGATCATACTTACAGCTTTAGCAAAAACACCCATGATTTCAGGAAACTGGTGTGTGAGAAGGGCTATCATTGCTGTAGAAGAACACAGTCCTGCTGTGAAATGGATGAAAAAAGGAAGCTCCTTCTTTGGGTAAACAGAAACGTGATGAAAGGCTGAAAGGGAGAAAAGGTAAGAATGAATTTTATTTCACAATACAGTGTAAACCAGTCATAATATTTTCAAATGAAATCTATTTTTAAAAACTAAAAAGGAAATTAAAAAAAAAAAAAAAAAACAAGCACAAGACAGCCTGAACAACATAGTGAGACTCCACCTCTACAAAACATAGAAAAATTAGTTGGGCATGGTGGCGCACACCTGCAGTCTCAGCTACTTGGGAGGCTGAGGTAAGAGGATTGCTTTCAGCCCAGGAGTTTGAGGTTGTAATGAGCTATGATGATGCCACTGTACTCTAGCCTGGGCAACAGAGGGAGACCCCTTCTTTAAAAAAAAAAAAATAGCAAAAAAGCACAAGAAGTCTCTGGCCAAGCAAGATAGAAGAAAGTTATCCATTATTTATTCCACATCAACAGCATATCCACACAGCTAGATGACTGTGCTGGGGCCTGGGAACAGGATGAAAGAACATTGATTATAAAGTCATGCTGAGATGGTTTTGAAAAAGAGCTTTGTCACTTACATTAGCTGTGTGATCTTGAATAAGTTGCTAAACCATCTAGAAGTTGCTATGGAGTTGTTATAATGAACACTGTAAGAACTTAATAAATGTGAATTGCTATTAATTCTTATTCTTTGGGAGCTCAAAGACTAGTATAAAGAAACAAACGTGTCATTGAAGATTTCCAAGAACCATCATCATTTAATAATTTTATGTAGTTATTAATGTGTTCTATATGTGGCATTTCATTAAGCACTGTAAAAATTGAACTAGAAAACCAAAGCTCTAGGTTCTGGCTACAAATGAAGTCCCTTGTCTTATTTTACCACATTTACACATTTACTCAGATATTGTTTTTATAGTGATTGGATATTTCATTGTCAATTATACCCAAGTAGTTGCATTTTATTTGAAATTTGAAAATACTTAAATAACAATACTGAGATGAGCCTATTATAGTGCCTGACACACAGTAGGTGGTCAGTAAATGTCTGTTAAACTGAGAGCTATTCTGGGACTTTATTAGGCCAGGAAGTTGCCTGCTCAGGGCTGGATACTAACCCAGGAATTCCTGATATAATATCCTGCATTAGTAAGGGATGACTAATTCAGTGCTGAACCAAGGTCAGCTATAAATTTCACTTTTTTAAACATAATGATTCACAGAGAAGATTACACCTAAGCTACTTTCAATAGCTATGACATTTTTGTCTTATATTCAGAAACTATATACCAAAAATGAAACTCATTAAAAATGCAGAAAATTGTCAGAGCTTTGAGCCATGATTAAACTAAAAGCACACCAGAACTGAATGTTTTAAAGTTATAAACATTAGAAAGTGTAGAGAACAATGTGTTTTCAGCACCCAAAGAATCAGTTAGCAGTCCTTTTCTGCCCTGTCCTCCAGCCACGAGAGGCTAACTACTTCTTTCCAACTTCAAACCAAGAAAATTAAACCCTGGTATTTGAGAAGACAGGAAATACATACAAGGCAGTAAAATTAATAATATTAGCTAAACTATGTATCATTTTATGGTTTAAAGTGCTTTAATTTATATTAGCTCATTTAATTTTTTTCAATAACCTTAAGAGAATATGATTCCTACTTTATAAGACAGAAAACTGCGTAGGTTTTGCAAGAAAATTTCCTAAAATATGAGATTTTTATACTGTAGGAGAGACCTAATTATTTCTTTTTGGATTGCTTTCTGTAGATTCATTTGTCAGTCAATGTTTGGCTAATATATCAATATAATGGATGACTGAATAGCACAGAAACACTCCCTTGGAACGAAAGTTCAAATTTCATCACTGGCTTGTAGAGAAAAATTTATCAGGAGGCATAAAAGATGACTAAATAGCTATGTGAACTAGGGGAATAGTTCAAGTCTGAACTTATGAAGTCCATAAGCAAATTCCAGAATGCCATAAGTCATATCAAGGTTGAAGGAAAATTAAAAACAAAAAACATTAAGTACTCTTGGGTATTAAAACTCCACATTATTAAAAATTTGTTCATTCTACCATAGTCAAAGACAGAAAAAATACTCTAACATACAATATAATCAAACAACCCCCCCCTGCCCCCAGCATATCCTTCCTCTCCTACCTCCTGGAGTTTGCATTCTATGTGGAGTTAGAATTTAAAAAGGCTTGCCAAAAAGCAAACTGTCTGGTCTTATGGCTATGGCTCTGACAACATGATAATAACCCTGATTTTATTCATATTACTGTGTAAAAGTTGGCCTCATATTAGACAACTTTTGTAATGCTTTACAAAGGAGGGATATTATTTTAGGCTTATTAATGTTCCATAATTTAAGATCAATTCTTTTGCCCTAAATACCCTTGTTCCTATTAAAATAGAAAAATAATAAGAACAAGTACTACTATCACTACCCTAGAAAGGAAAATGAAATTTCTCTTATTAATTACCTCCTAACTGCTAAAGTCAATGAATTCTTCTCAGTAATTACCTTACCTAATAGCTCAGATTCTCCTCATCACTTGAAAATTTCTTCCTCCTTTTAGTTTCTCGGATAGCTAGTTTTAGTTCTTGTCCTTTCTCTCTGATCACTCCTTCACTGAATCTTCGACTCTTCTCCTGCCATCCATTCTTTTGACATTTCTGTGACCCCTGGTTCCACACTCAGTTCACTTCTCATTCTATACAGTTTCCCTTAGTGATCTCATTTGTGCCTAGGACTTCTTTTGCTACTTGGAAAATGATGACTCCAAAGTCTATTTTGTGAGATGTACAGAAAGTTATTAAAACTCCTGACAAATTTGTTTATGCAATATGATCCTGTTTCTAGGCTACAGCTGATTGGACAAGGAAGGAACACCTGGATAAATGTGATTCTCTCTCCCAGAAGTTATAGATGTAGGATTGAGATATTATTCATTCTGTACTGTGTGCCTAAACTGATGACATGTAAACACTTAGCCATAGGGGCATCAAGTTTGGCCACATGGCTGTCTATGAAAGGAAAGCCAACCTGAAAAGAGAAAGATAAAAGAATGAAGCAGATACACTATGAGAAGCAGAAATGATATTACAAAGAAAAGAGAGGAGTCTGGGGAGGGAGAAAGTGAGAACAGGTGAGACTGAAAAAGGCAGCCAAAGATAGAGATATACAGATAACTGACTCCTAGAAATCCTAATGACCTTCTAGTTCCTGGTTCCAGCCCCTTATGAGGTCCAACTGTAATTGTTGCTTTTGAATTCTTTGATATCCCAGAGGTCTTCCCACAAGTTCCCATTTATGTTTAAGCTAGTTTGAAGTGGCTCTCCATTACTTATACCCCAAGTATGCCTACATTTACTATTTATATATTATATATATACTTTATAATGTATGTATCACTTACAAATATATATTATATCCACATTTTATATTATTTAGAGATGGAAAATATAAAGACTTTTATGTATATCTGTTAAGTAGATAACAAAATATTTAAGCATATAAAGACATATACATATACATGTACATATGTGTAAATGGATGAGATGTTACACAGGCAACATAGTCAAAGTTTGAACTTATTTACTTTTCCCACTCCTATTCCCAAACCTGCTCATCCTCTCATCCTGCTGTATGATAGATTACCATTTCCCAAGGCACCCAACTCAGAAAATTGAGAATCACTCTTGACCTCCTAGAGAGATCCTCCCACATCAAGCTTTCTTATAATCTATTCCATACATACAGCACTTAACACATTGTCTGTCTGTCTTTCTATTAGCCTGTGAGCAGCCTAGGAGTTCAGAATAGGTAAGGAGGAAAAGGGAACTGATAATTCACATTTTTGTTCAGTATTTACAATGTATAAGACTTGTTTATAAGAATAAACAAATGAATTTTACTAACTCAAAGAATATTTATTGAATATCAATTTTTGTAGCAAACATTATAGAGATACAGGGACAACAAGGAGAGTCTTGGCCTTCAAAGAGTTTACAATCTAAAAGGGGAGATTAAGAAGCACACTAAAGCATTTTGAGAATTCAGAGAAAGCAGCAATCACTTATCTCAGCAGATGGAGGAAAATAAAAGACACTGGGAGAAAAATACCAGCATACTCAACTTGTTATAATCTCTCCTCCTAAATTTTCATCTATCTGAACTTCTCAGCTCAGTAAGTTTAATGATTGTAAAACTGCAACTTTCCTTCCTAGATGTCAGTTCTAATGGCTCAGTATTGTAAAAACTGGCACAAGTTTACATCATATAAGGAAATATGGTAGTAGTGTTTGCAACCTGCAGCAGGCTTACTTCTCAGTTAAATCATTAAAAAAAAATTAAAACAGGAATTTACCAGCTCACTGAGAAAAAGAGTAATAAGGCAGCTGAGAAACAAAGTGTAGACTATTCTTTTGAGAAGTTTGGCTTCCTGAAGTCAAGAACTAGACTGAAACATTCTCAGCAATCATAACCCTATATATTTCTGGTTCTCCTCCTAATTCTTTGACTGCTCTTTTTCAAATAGGGAAGTGTAGCCCTTCCAACTTCGTTCTTCTTTGTAAAGATTGTTTTGGCTATTCTGGGTCCTTTAGCTTTCCGTATAAAGTTTAGAATCAGCTTGTCATTTTTCACAAAGTCCATTCTGAGATTTTGATAGGAATTGTAGTGACTCTATAGATCAATTTGGGGACAACTGTCATCTAAATAATATTGAGTCTTGTAATCCATCAACATGGATTGTGTCTCCATTTATTTAGATTTTCTTTAATTTCTCTCAGCAATACTTTGTAGTTTTTAGTGTACGAGTGTTATATTTCTTTTTTAAAATGTATTCCTAAGTAGTTTGTTCCTTTTTGATGCTACTGTGGTTAGAATAATTTTATAAATTTCATTTTCAGATTGTTCATTGTTGGTATACAGATATATAATTAATTTTTGTATATTGGTCTTATAACCTACAACTCTGTTGAATTTGTTAATTAGTTCCAGTAGTATTTTTATGAATTTCTTACAATTTCCTGCATAGAGGATCATGCCATCTGTGAATAAAGGCAGTTTTACTTCTTCCTTTCCAATATGAATGCCTTTTATTTATTTTTCTTGCCTCATTACAATGGTTAGAATCTCTAGTACAATGTTGAATAGAAGTGGTGAAAAAAGACATCCTTATCTTATTCCTGATCTTAGGTGGAAAGCATTCAGTCTTTCATCATTAAGTATGATATTAACTGTGGATTTTTTCATAGATGTTTTATCAAGTTGAGGAAGTTCCCTTCTATTTGTAGTTTTTGAGTGTTTTTTACTTTTTATTTTTATTTTATTTTATTTTTTTTGAGACAGAGTCTCGCTTTGTTGCCCAGGTTAGAGTGAGTGCCGTGGCATCAGCCCAGCTCACAGCAACCTCAAACTCCTGAGTTCAAGCAATCCTCCTGCCTCAGCCTCCCAAGTAGCTGGGACTACAGGCATGCGCCACCATGCCAGGCTAATTTTTTCTATATGTATTAGTTGGCCAATTAATTTCTTTCTATTTATAGTAGAGACGGCATCTCGCTCTTGCTCAGGCTGGTTTCGAACTCCTGACCTCAAGCAATCCGCCCACCTTGGCCTCCCAGAGTGCTAGGATTACAGGCGTGAGCCACTGTGCCTGGCTTTGAGTGTTTTTTAAATCATTAATTGGAGCTGGATTTTGTCAAATGTTTTTTCTGCATCTATTGTCCTTTATTCTATTAACATGGTGATTACAGTTTCAGATGTTAAACCAACCATGCATTTGTGAGGGAAATCCCATGTGGTCATTGTATATAATCCTTTTTATATGTTGCTGGATCCAGTTTGCTTAAGATTTTGTTGAAGATGTTTGTGCTTATATTCATGAGTGCTATTGTTTTATCGTTTTCTTTTCTTATAATATCTTTGTCTGATTTTGATATAAGGGTAATACTGCTGTCATCAAATGAGTTGGGGCGTATTCCCCCTCCTTTATTTTCTAAAAGTTTGTGAAGGATTGGTATTATTTCTTTTCTAAATGTTTATAAGATAACTGCTTTTTAAATATCTTTAATCTTTTTTTTTTTTTGAGACAGAGTCTCACTTTGTTGCCAGGCTAGGAGTGGAGTGCGTCATTAGCCTGGCTCACAGCAACCTCAATCTCCGGGGCTCAGCGATCCTACTGCCTCAGCCTCCCGAGTAGCTGGGACTACAGGCATGCGCTACCATGAATATCTTTAATCTTGATGTGCTTCATTGCATGTAGCGCTGGGTTTTACTCAGTAAGTATGTGGAAATGAATTGAATTATGCAACTACATCCCAGAAGTGGCTACAACAGTATTTAAACAGTGTCCTGAATTTCAACCAAAGGCACTTTAAAAATGGAGAATACTATGGAAAATAATCTAATAATTACTTTTAAGTTTAGGAAAACTGAAATATTTACTTACTAGGTAACAGCTCTCTATCAGCAGTCTCTGTGCAGCTGGGATAAGGGTAAAATAGATGTCCTTTTTCTAATGGATATGGAATCATTCTAAAAGCTGAGAAAAAAATACATGTGTTGACATTCAATTCCATCTCACCATCCTATACCACAGATCAAAGCTATTTTGGAGACATATTTCACATAGAGACTATTTTCACAGAGTATTTTATTTTTTTTTAGAGAGACATTTTAGATGGAAGAAACAAAGTAATCAAAAGAATGAATAAGGGGAAGAATAAGATTTATTTAGATAACAATGAATGGTCTAGTCTGGCTGGAGTAAAACTAAAGGGAGCAGTAGATGATAAGACGGGCTGGGTCCTTTTTTGTTTTATTCTCCTTATTACAAACCATAAATGTCAACTCCAGAGGTATGAATTCCACTTCTTACAGGAATATTTATAAAATTACCATGTGTATACTTGTTGTGGCCACTACTTTTGGCAACCTAAAAGAGTTCTCAGTGACTCCTAACTTCACATATGAGGTTCACCAAAGTTTTCAATGAGTAGATCTTTAATCTAGATCAGGGGTTATCAAAGTATGGCACTTTGGCCAGATCTGGCCCACTATCTGCTTTTATAAATAAAATTTTATTGGAATACTGCCATGCCATTCATTTACATATTGTCTAAGGCTGCTTTTGTGTTATAAGAATTGAGTAGTTGTGATGAAAACAGTATGGCCCACAAAGCCTAAAATTAAATAATAGTAAATACTATCTGACCCTTTATAGAAAAAGTTTGTCCACCCCTGATCTAGATTATCACCAACTCTTGCAGATTTATTAAAGAAGAAATCCTATTGATCTATTCCATTAGCTAAGTACACTAAGTCCTCAGTTAACACCATCAGTAGGTTCTTAAAAACTGCGACTTTAAGCAAAACAATATATTAATATAATAAAATCCATTTTACCATAGGCCAAATAAGAGTTAAGTTCCTATGGCATATTTCTAGTCAAAAAAAAAAAAAATCACCAAACTTGTAAATAAAGATCAAAGCACTTCTAATATTAAACATTGAAATAAATGTGAGCTATACACACATTTAAGAAAGATTATAAAAACAAGTAAGATAATTATTTACCCAATTATTCCAGTTCAGAGTTGAGAGTGGCTGGAGCCTATCCCAGCAGCTCAGGGTTCAATGCAGAAGCCAACCCTGGATAGCATGCCATTCCATTATAGGGTGCACTTACACCTACACCACATCACTCATATTTGGACAATTTGGACATACCAATTAACCTAATGTGTACATCTTTGAGATGTGGGAAGAAATTGGAGTACCCAGAGAAAACCCACAAACACATGGGGAGAACATGTGAACTCCACACCATCAGTGGCCCTGTCTGGGAATCAATATTTTTCCTCATCAACATTGTAACAAAATGATATTGAATGAAATATTATTATTTGAGGACCTGCTGTACTCATCAAAATTGTGATAAGGTTTTTATTTTTCCTTCAGTGGTTGGCTCTATAAGCTTGTGTCAAAATATAGATTTTATTTTGCCACAATAAAGAGTATTTATTTGTCCAAAGTCATAAGCAAATCAGTGATAACACTAGTAAATAATTTGTCAAGATTCACGAAATACAGTATAAATCATATGCTTGAAAACTTCCTGTGTGCCAAGCAGAATGCCAGGCAGTGAAGACACATATAAAGTGAAAGGAGTAGAGTACCTTTGAGGAGCTTACCTACTGGAGAAAAAGCAAGTCTAATTACTCAAAGACATTCAGCTCCTTGAGTACCTAATCCCAGTTTTATTAATCTTTATATTGTCAGTGTCTGGCCCTTAGCAAATGGTTAATGCAGGGGTTCCCAAATTTTCTTGATTAAAGGACACATTTCTCAAATTTCTCTTCATTTCTCAAAAGTTTTTTATAATGCCCTAGGCTCAAAGAAATATCTAATAATTCCACTTATTAAGTAGTGAGTCCAAACAACTTAAAACATTTATGTTCTAATAATTTAGCAACAATTTGAAAAAAATACATATAAATTAGAGAAAAATAATTTTATTTCATTTTCAAATGACCACCATCACTCTTATGAACTGCTACAACATCCCAAGGTGCCACAATGCAAAGTTTGGGAACAGGTGGTTAAACAATTTTAGTGAATGAGCATTGAATTTTTATCAATAGCTGTGGTATACTTTCCTAGAGAATTATTGTACAAATCCAAATGAGAAAATATTTTGATTATGCTTCTTCACTTTCTTTCCTTTTTCTTTCTTTCTTTCTTTTTTTTTTTTGAGACTGGGTCTTGCTCTGTCAACCAGGCTAGAGGGCTGTGGGCATCATCATAGCTCACTGCAACCTCAAACCCCAGGGCTCAAGGGATCCTCCTGCCTCAACTTCTCAAAGTGCTGGGATTACTGGAGTGAGCTACTGCACCCGGCTGAAGTTTCTTCACTTTTTTGGAGGTTATAAGAAGTAACAAATAAAAGATGTGGTAGTTAGATAAAACCAGTCCAAATTATTCTGCATAGAAGATATAAAAATAGCCAATAGTTCAACATCACTAATTATTAGGGAAATGCAAAACAAAACTACAATGAGATTCCACTTCACACCCATTAGGATGGGTCTTACCAAAAAGAAATAACAATTGTTGTCAAAGATCTGGGAAAACTGGAACTTTTGTGCATTGCTGATGGGAATGTAAAATAATATAGCTGCTATGGAAAACACTATTATGGTTCTTCAAAAATTAAACATAGAATTTTATGATCTAGCAATTCTACTTCTGGATATATACCCAAAAGAATTGAAAGCAGAAACTCAAACAGATATTTGTATACCAATGTTCACAGCAGCACTATTCACAATAGCCAAAAGGTGGAAACAATGCAAATGTTAACTGACAGATAAACAAATGTGGTATATACATACAATGAAATATTAATATTATTCAGCTTTAAAAAGTAATACAATTCTGACACATCTACAACATAGATGAATGAACCTTGAGGATACTATGCTAAGTGAAATAAACCATACACAAAAGAACAAATATTGCATGATTCCACTTACATGATGTACCTAGAGTAGTCTAACTCATAGAGACAGAAAGTAGAATAGTGGCTGCCAGGGGCAAGAGGTAGGAAGAACTAGGGAGTTATTGTCACATATTTAATGGGTACAGAATCTCAGTTTGGGATGAAGAAAAAGTTCTGGAGATGGATGGTGGTGATGGTTGTACAACACTGTAAATGTACGTAATGCCACTGAACCATACACTTAAAAATGATTAAAATGGTCAATATTATGTTATAAATATTTTACAATAAAATGAACAGAGTTATTTAGTTGTGAGGAAAACAGTTTCATGTTGTGCACATCTGAAAATAAAACCAAACCAGACCAATTTTTAAAATATAAGAATAGCTCAACCACACATTAAAAAGTTTATAAGCCAAAGAACTAACTTTTCATTTTCTTTTCTTACAAATATGTAACTTAAATGAATATATGATAGAATACCATAACAGTTTCTCGTTTGGCTTTTTGAAAATGTGGCATCAATATGAATACATTATTTCTTCTACCAATAAAGCAAATATAATGCCACTGAATTCACTTTGAAACCAATCTGAACAACAAATCCTTATGGTAACTCAGACAATCTCATTTAAAAAACCTGCCTATGAATGCAATGAATAAAGAAATTAGGGCTATATTTGGAAAAGAATACTTACTGCCTTCCCATGTACACTGTAACAGATTAAGAGCACCTTCTATTCGCTTCCAGTGCTGAAGATGAAAGAAAGCATAAGCAATTGCTTCACTATCACCTCGTTTCAGAATGTGTTCTGGAGGCAAAATTAAACTTTTCATCTCTAGTAAATACTGCAAGAATAACACATATACACACAACAGAAAAAAGAAAAATGGTGTTAAATTCAAATACCCACAAAAACATGGATTCAAAATGTTATGAAGTCAAATTGATAAAAAAAATTTTAACTAGTTGAAATGACATGAAGGTTCTACTGATAACATCTGTATAAAATGCTTATATATGCAAATTCCAAAACCCAGAATATTTCTGTAGGTAAAAATAAGGTGACAAATGGCTTATGTGTGATCTTGCTAAATACAAAATGGAAACTCACGCTGAAGAAATAATGTGAGAGCATTTATTTTTCCAAAAAAGAGTTAAATGTAAAAATTATAAAATATAATTTTGGAACAATACTTGTGACAACTCAATTCTTTTTTCTCTTATTTTACAGGTGAAAAAACTTAATTGTAGAAAGTTCAATTAATTAATATTTACAGTGTTCAAAGCACTAAGCTTTTTAAGGAATACCAAAGAATACCCTGTCTGTTCTCCGGAGTTTCATAATGGGAAAGACAGATTTCTTAAGTAAATAATTATAATTAGACTGTGGTGAGTGCTATATTAGAGGTATAAACAATGTATATAGTATGTAGGAATATGCATAGGAGGTATTCATTTTTTAATTTAGCTTTTATCTAATAGCTTTATTGATATATTAATTCACATACCTTAGAATTCATACATTTAAAGAATTCAGTTCAATGATTTTTAGTATATTCACAGATATGTGTAACTATCACCACAACTTCAGAACATTTTCATCACCTCAGAAGGAAATCCTGTACCTTTTAGTTATCATCCTCTTCTCCTCACTCCCCTTAAGCAACCACTAACCTATTTTCTGTCTTTACAGATTTGCCTATTGTGGGTATTTCGTACAAATGGAATTATATAATATGTGGTCTTTTGTGACTGGTTTCTTTCACTTAGCATGATGTTTTCAAGGTTCACCCAGGCTGCAGTATGTATTGGTCTTTGTACCTCACTCTTTTTTAGGGCCAAATAATATTCTACTGTATGGAATATATATTTTGTTTATCCATTCATCAGTTGACACACATTTGGTTGTTTTCACCTTCTGGCTATTATGAATAATGCTGTTATAAACATTTACGTACAAGTTTTGGTGTCAACATATGTCTTCATTTCTCTTGGATAAATATTTTGGTGTAGAATCATTGGGTCATATGATAATTCCATGTTTAGGATGTATGATGATTTAGGGGCTAAAAATAAACCACTTAATGGAATTTGAATTGATATTTAAAAATGAGTAGAATGTGGATGAGCAGACTTGGGTGGGGTGAGAAGAACAGGAGGATATATTCACAAACACAGGGCACTGAACCAAGAGAGCAAAGAGCAAAATGCATTTAATGTGCCTGCTAAAGAAGTCATAGTCTGTCGGTTCTTCACATGTGAAACTAAATTCTATCTTAAACTCTTGAAGAAAATACTTGTCCTAATATTATAATTTGTAACAAAAGCGGTATAATCATAGTTATTGTACTAATCAGATGTATAATACTAATTACATGAAGAAAGCTACAAAATTGACCATTTGTACATCAATTTACTCTACTTTACTAAAATAGTCAACTTAAAACAACACCTTTAAAAAAATTTTTAATTAGCTAAATACTTTCTCCAAAGACTGAGGCCCAGAATGCACTTCCCCTTCTAGAATAAGTTTGAAATAACTTCTTTCATTCCAAACAACTTGATATAAAATTATGTCATAAGGTCCAAATCACATTAACTTCTGTAATAAAATATAAAAACAGAAACCTTCCAGAGTGTCTCACAAGATATATTTGCACATTTCAAATGCTGGTTCCCCAGGTTGTTATATGAACAAATGAGATAATATAAATTAAAGAGCTGAATTTGTGAAACACTTTGTAAAACTGCTATAATCAATGACTCCAGGAAGAATCTTAAAAACAAAAAGATGTAATGGTTTCAAAATTTAAGCCATAGGTTATTAATCAATATGTATGTACTCTTCAAATATTAATACATCTAAAATGGCTTTCAACAATTACTGAGCTTAACACCCATCTTTCATTAATTATTCTTACTCTTGATGTCTTTGGCTCTGTCCTCAAAGTGTAAGAATGCAGTCTATGCATCGATTTATTTTAGCAGATGTCACAAACTATGAGATTATTTACTAATCCAGTTTGGGGACTTAACATTTCCCATTCAGTTTCTTAAAGGAATGCAACAGAGGTTGTGTCCTGGTCAAGCAAAGCCCATTTGCTGCCTGGTTGGGTTCTCTCCCCTTAGTGCCTTGGGCCTATATTCAGGAGGGTAATATTCTTTCTAATCCTCTCTAATCCTTGCCCATTTTTTTAAAACACAGTAAAAGATCACTCGCACCAGGCAGCTGTGGGAAAATGGACTCAAATAGATGACCTCTGACATGACTCCTTATGCTCTTTGCAAGTGCACTAAGAGCTTCTTCAGTAGGAAGCAAAGAAAATGTGGCAAACACAGTGGAATCACCATCATAAAAAAGACTATCTAGTTTTCAGAAGAAAACTGTTTAATACTTAAACCAAGTCCTTAATATTAAAATTCTGTTTCATTTTATAGATAAAGGAGACAAAATATGCCTAATTGTTTTCAATGAGCTTTAGAACCCAGAAGCTTTAAACCCCAACATGATATTTAGTATATTGGTAACCATTCAATAGATATAATCAAAGATATTCAGTTAACAATTATTCAGTAAAACTTATAGAAAATATCAATTTGGTAAGTCAAGAAAAGCATTTTTTGAATAGCAACTATGTAACTAAATTTTCACTATCTAATAATCTAAGTGACAATTTAGGAGGTAAACACGTATGGCACACTTATTAGAAAATGATACTTTAGGACTTTATATTAAAAATCTTTGCTATTTAATCATTTTTAAAATCTTCCGTATGCTACTTTATTTTTTATTTTCATGTCCTACCTACCAGCAAATATCCTTTCCAATTAACTTTAAAGCAAACTAATTTTTCATTTCCTAATTTTTAACCCCAAAATATAAGGGAAGATTTTCAGTTTAAGGAAAATGTACGTAAAATAAATTATAAGATTAATACTTATTTTATCTCCTTTGCAAACTATTACTCAGGAATTTCTGCTACTTAGCAAAGGCTGTAACTTATTGCCCAATAGAAACCATATCTTTCATATTCTACTACAATATTGTACAACCCAAAGTAGGCACTAAAATACTTGTTAATTGAACTGATCTGATATATAGAGTTAAAATGTCTTCAAACTCACATTTTAGTTTTGACTTAAAGATATTTTATAATTTTCTGGATAAACTAAAAACAAACAAAACAACAAAAATTCTGCTACCCAGACTTTACTCTTCTAAGAAGAATATAAAAGATTAAAAACTGAGGGGTAATTTGTTTTGTTTTGGTCTTTTATTTTCTTTTTTTCTGATTAGAAAAGTACAACCTCAGTGTACAAAAATGGAAACACAACAGAGTTATGCAATAGAAAATAATATATATGTTTGGAGAATAAAATAATAAAGATAATTATTTATTTTTCTCAGGATTTTATTTTTATGCATAATATACTGACTCCATTTTTCTCAAAAATAAGATCGAACTGTTATGTAACTCACTTTTTACTTCATAATACACATTGTACATTTCTTCCTGTCTCCATTCAGATCTAATATTTTTAATTATTATATAGTATTCCACTAAAAGCTGAGTTATTTTATAATATAAGTTAAGAAATAAGTTCATGATGGAATTGTGCTACCATACTTTTTTTTTTTTTTTTGAGACAGAGTCTCGCTTTGTTGCCCAGGCTAGAGTGAGTGCCATGGCATCAGCCTAGCTCACAGCAACCCCAAACTCCTAGACTCAAGCAATTCTACTGCCTCAGCCTCTCGAGTAGCTGGGACTACAGGTATGAGCCCCCATGCCTGGCTAATTTATGTATATATATATTAGTTAGCCAATTAATTTCTTTTTATTTTTTTTATAGTAGAAATGGGGTCTCACTCAGGCTGGTTTTGAACTCCTGACCTTGAGCAATCCTCTCACCTGGGCCTCCCAGAGTGCTAGGATTACAGGCGTGAGCCACTGCGCCCGACCCTACCATCCTTAAAGGTAAAAAAAAAATAGTATCTTTAAGAAAAACTTGAAAAATAGTTATGGAAAATGGCTTAAAAATTTCAAGAAATGAGGAGTGTAAAATTTTATTTTCTTTAACTTAGATAAGCTTTTAAAGCAGCTATTCTAAACTACAGACATGTCTATTTACCAATATTTATTAAGTGCTTATTATGGACTAGTCAGAGAATTGAACATAGAATGATGACTAAGACAAGAGCCCTGCTTTTGTTACATGGAACTAAGGGAGAGACATATAAATAGATCAAAAAAAAATTTTTTTAAACTCCAATCAAACAAACAAAAAGATATGTTTGATGTAATGAAGGAACAGAGAAGAGAAAGTCATTATCTCTTGTTAGGAAAACTAGGAAAGACTCCTTATAAAGGAGACAGCAGATGAGCAGGGTATTGAAGGATGAGTAGAAACTTTCCGGGTGGAGGAGAGATTGAGCGTATGTACAATGGTAGTGAGATATAATGAGAAATGACCAATCCAGGAAACAGTGACTCTAGAGATAAGGAGCAAGGAAGAAGTGGCAAGGAGTAAGGTTGGAGTAGATACTGGGCCAGGAGTAGATACTGTGAAGGGCTTTTCTATGTGTAACACTAAGACTAAGGGGTTTGTCCTTATCCTATAGGCAATAAGGAACAAGCGCAGGCCTTTAAAACACGGTAAGATTTGTTATTTAGGTAGATAATGCTGGCAATAGCCAGCATGGAGAAGGGCTGATAGCAGGTAGACCAGTGAGGAATCTATTTTAATAGTCAATGCCAGAGATGGTATTTAAGATTATTTCAGTATGTTTAGAAATGCATAGAAAATGTCTAGCAATATATACACCAAACATAAATAGTGGTACTTC